AAGGGCATTGTCTTTGTGAATGGCGAAAATCTCGGCAGGTACTGGCCACTGGTGGGACCTCAGGTCACCCTGTATGTTCCGGCGCCCGTGCTCAAGGTGGGCTCAAACCGACTGGTGGTGGTGGAGTACCAGCAGACACCCACCTCACAGGAGCTGCACTTCCGGGACACCCCCATACTGAACGCGAGAACCGTTTAGTCGTCGGCCCAAGGACCTGGGCGACTTGCATCCATCGCTTTAGCCATACATCATGCATCATCCGTTTATGTAGATCTAAATGTAAATTTATGCGGTTTAACTTCTTTGCGAGACATTAAAGCAACTCCGAGACGGATGCGTCCTGTCTGCCTCGTTATCCCTTTTGTAAAAGACTCATTAAAGCTGTGGGGGCATGGAGGTGGGGGAGTGACAGGCCTGCCATGTGTGACCTTTGTGCTTTGGCCAAATTAATCCCTAATGATTGAAATTGAAATCCACAGAAATGCGCTGATGATGAGTCCCTAAGTCAAAGGCGAGTCGAAAAATGAGTCGCGTCTTGGTTCGTTGGTTTTTTTAGGCACCCAAAAGTTTTTATGACAATCCCACTCCATTTGTTTCCGCTGGCATTTGGCCTTCTTAAGAACATGTTATATTACTGCTGTTGATTTTGAAATGTGTACATGTTCTAGGATATTTTAGGATGGAGATTAACGATGTACTGGCCTAAAATATATTTAATTTACCGGTACTAAGGCTCGCCAAACTGTTTTCTTAAGATTGTTTAAACAAAGTGTTACACACAAAGTGTTACAAATACTGTTGTTTATCTACGCGTATTGTATATACTTTTCTCTATTAATATTTATGCTTGAACTAATAGTTTCATAGCCCTTCAGCTTTCCCACTGTCCTCGAACTGTAATAAAATATTTACCCAAATTGTGTACCAGGGCACGTTGACATTACACGGACTGCTCCCGGCCCGAAGAATGACTCCCTACTTGACCATCTCTTGTTGCCGTAATGAGTGCGGCAGCTACACTTGTTGGCCGGGTTAATTAGTCCTGGCCCACACACATTCACATGCACTGGCTAACATTTTAAAGGATCTTTCTTTTAGGCGCAGCTGCAGCTCAAGTATTTGTGTATTTTTTTTTTTTGCTGGCTACACATGCTGTAATTGCCCTGTTCTCGTTGTCCAAGTTGACATAAAACAAGTTAAGACCCAGGGGCAGTTTTAAAGCGCCGCCTCATGTTACCCGTGGCCACCCAGTCCATCCATAGTGGCTTTTTGGGAGAGTGCTCCTCTAATGGGATGGCGTTGCGTGCTGCCACCGGATGTGTGCCATCGCCATCCCAATCCCGGAATCTGGAGCCCTGCATTGATGTTGTTTTTTATTAGCTTTGGCCGCCGGCTGTCAATTGATGACCATCCTCCATAAACAATGTTTCTGCTCCCGCCGGACCCAAATATGTAAAAACAGAACGAACTTGACTCGGAGTAACCGGGTCCACTTGCTTTTTTATCACGCGATTGTTAAAAGTATCTTGTCAGCTAATCAAACCAGTTAACACTTTAATAGGACTGTCTTTTAGTTTGCTATAATAATTTCCTTTACAATCTGCAGCCTTAATGTGCGGTATTTGTCAGGATTTAAATTGTTAAATGTCAAATTGGGTGGATGCCACCCATGAAGTTTTACGGTGAGATTGGACAAATGTGCTGTCATAAAAACTTGTTGATGATATTAAGCAGACCCCCGAGATCAAATAGGATATAAAATCTGATAACAAAGCTTAAAGATTGCTCTTAACATGCCGAAGCATAAAATTTTGAATGTGTTGTTTTGCAGCTAATTTGACAAATGTATTATTATCCCAGGGGCGATTTGTCTTAAAGGCAATATTACGTAAATTAGCTTATTTTCTTATAAAATGTTTGTGCGTTTATTTGAAAAGGAATGAGAATGAGCTTAGTATATATTTTATTTTTTAGATAAGTTCTCTTCGATCGCACTAATTATCACCATCTATTCTGAGGGAATCACTGCTCAACATATATCATACTAAATAAATATCATACCAAATACTAAGCAGAAACTGCACCAAGTTAATGAAATGTTAAGGCAGAAGTTCACTTACATTTATAGCCAATTCGCTTTGGAAGTATCTTTCACTTTCAGTTCTATCTAACTGTTTGTCCAACTGCTCGCGTACCGAACGCGCCGAGAAGTATGCAACAACTGAGCGACAGATCGAAGCGACAACGGACCTTTATAAAAGCGGCAGAAGGATAGGGCCGAAACAGGAAGCCCGACCGGCAGGACACGAAGTTCGACGGCTCACGAACTGCCTCGGCTGCTGTGTGTGGGTGTGCGTGTGTGTGTGTGGGTGCGTGGGTGTGTGCTCGTGCATATCAACAATTGGTCGAATAGAATCTGCAGCGATACGAGGTGTGACTGTGTGTGTGCGAGTGTGCAAGTGTGGCGATGCGGTGTGCGGCCTCTTTTATGCGGCCGCCACTTCAGCGTGGAATAAAAAATTGCCTCCTCGCCGGAGCAATTGAATTGAACGGAAATTCTGTTTGCATATGTGAATAAAACATATGCAAAAAGTAGGCGAAATGCGAAAAAGGCATAGTGCACAAAAGGAGCAGGAGATACCAAAAGCGGAATGAGAATGGAGCAACAGCATCCAAAACTGGCCAAATGGGAAAGTTCCTCGTAGCAGGTAATATTCATTTCGATTTCAGTTGGTCCGTACTCGCTTCTGTTTTTGGTTTATTTTAATATTTATGTTTTACCTTATGCCTGCGAAATGGACAAATAAAAATTATGCATTTTGTTGATTTTTCCCTGGCTGTTTGGCCAAAAAATTTGTAATTAAATTTATTCCCATGTGCCGCCTATAAAGCAAACAAAACATTCACATTTTTAAACTGTGTTGGGTGTTTTAAAAAATGTAAGCTAGTATTCAAAACAATTATTCCTTTAAATATGCAATGAGGATAGACATTTTATGAAAAAAGTCACATTTAAAGAAATTTATTTTTTATACATTTATAGGGCTCATCGCAAAACCTAACGAATTACTTACTTAACGAATTATTACTGAACAACATTTTTTCTTGACTAATATATACTTGGATTTATATTGATATTTAAGTGTTCTTCCTGCAGAATTTTCGAATTATCACTTAGTTACAAATTTAAACCCAATCGAATGGGTATGAATCTTGCGTTAAGATGCATACCATATTTGGTGTCTCATTTTGACTTTTGAGTCGCAGCTCAATCATTTTGAAATCAATCAAATTTAAAGCCTCAAGCGGATTCGTCTCAAATGCGTCACAAGCCGAGCCGGAAAATTCGTTGCAGCCAGATTTCAACGGGTCGCGACCATCAACAATGCACTTGAGGCGAGGTCGCGGCATTTAAGATAAGACAACACCCGGATCACCCGCTCCACCCGCATCCCTCACACGGCACTCGGAAAGGCCAAGTGGGCGCCACACACATCCGGGGGCCAGCTCGTTGCAACTTGCAGCCTCTACAACGTCAGTTTTTTGGTCTAAAATTAAACGTGGAAGCACCGCCGCTTCCTGCTGGCATCTTATCTGCGCATCCTTCTTGCAGGACTGCCTTCCGCCTTTTCGCTCAATTGAGTCGTAAAAGTTACAGTGTACAGAGCCCGCTGAAAAATTTGCATTTAAATTGCAACAGATTTCGGGGCAAAAAATGGCCAATTCCTCACCCCCAAACAATTAGAGGCATTTCCTAAACTAAACGAGCTCGTTTTCGGTGGTGAACACCCACTGCGACTCCAATTGTCGACGGTGACGCAATAAATATTTACTCCAGCCATTTGGTAAACATAATTAGCATTTAATTAAAATAAAATTGCCCATCGATAGACAAGCAATTTGTGATTTGATTATCAAAATCAAATAAGACCGCCGCCGATAAAGCCCTTTCGCTTGTGCAAATACCCCTGCCGCTGCAGAGCTACAAACATATAAATATATGTATATAGCCATTGGCAATTGGGAACAGGACCATAGTGGATCGCAGCGGATCCGAGATAAGGTGCTCCATCGCCGGAACCAGCCGATAGCTGCGGAATATGGACGTTAAGTTTGCGGTTGATTGGATTATGGCCCTTTGCATTGCGTATGGCATTTTATGGGTCAGTGATAGACGGCAAATTGATTTTGGTTTTCGGTTTCGTTAGCCTCTATGGCCACCTGTTGCTCCGAATTGGTTCTGCTGCCGCTGCACTTTGAGCAGGTGGTGCAAATTGAATTTAAAATTGCATTCCGCGCGTGGGAGGTTTACAAATATTAAGGGAAGAGATACTCCGCACGCCCAACTGAGACACAACGAGGGTGGGTACACTTATTCGCTAAAAAGTAGGAAGCAAATAATGGATACTTAATTAACAATTATTTTTTTCAAAATACTATGTACCTAAACCCCGTCAAAAAAAAAAAATAGTACATTTTATAACCTACTATGAGCAATTTGATCACTTCAACATTGAAATTTGTATAATAATACTTAATCACTTCCAATTAAAATGGGAAATATTTTATAGCCAATAAACAATCGCATTACCTTGAAGGTCTGTGTTTTGACCATCAACTTTTTGCGCTGCCCTCGCCATATTCGCCTTTTTTGTCGCTCAGATTGCTTTGTTATTTGTCAACCATTTATTATTGTGCAAATAAAACGTATCCGCCGCCCATATGGATCGTCGAAACACAATTGATTTATACGATGCGCAAAGGTTGATAGTCCCTTTACTGTGAAGAAATTACTAAACTTTAACATCCTTCTAAACCATTTCAAGATTACTAATGACAAGGGTGATGGCTGAAAAAGTAATAGTATTAAATGAAATTAAATAAAATATGACATGAAGTTGGCGTAAAATGTTTAATATAAGATATATGTACATAAAATATAATATAATATACATTGTACTTTTAGCTAACTTACCCGTTTTGCAGCAAAAAACATAGCATTAATTTTCACATAACATGCATTAAACATGTTTTTATTTGGAGGATTACATTTGTAGTGAGTATTTAAGGCTAGGCGTAGAAACTAAACAATTATATAACTGGAATGACAAACACTAAAGAACCGTGAGTAATACATGAACAATTTTGCTTTAATTTATCTATACATTCATTACTTTGGTGTAATTTTCTAAGCTTACGATTTTTTAAATTATAAATTTAAATATCCTATCATTATATTAAAACTTTTATCATTAATAATTCTATATTCAAATTTCTAATTGTTTCATCTGATAATCATTGCATTAGACGCTAACAACTCTTGACATACCGTTCATTTTGAAATATTCATTACTAAGTGTACTCAAAAACTTGGCAATCTACTTTTTTGTTGCATTCATAGATTATCTAACAAAAAATTGAAACATCATTCTTCCAGCTAAATATTTAGTAGCCGGTCTGTTTCAGATGCTGACTACGCAAAATTTATATCCAAGATCTCTGAAAATTTATATCCAAGGCCCATCTGATGGGGCTGAACTTGATAATTGGAATGATAAACTTTTCATTGATAAGTTTCTTCCCAAAAACAAATTGCATCTCGTTAATGGGAGCTCGTATGAGCAATCAGATCCCAACTACACAATCAAGTCAATTCCTCCATGTTCGGACGCTTTGTTTGGGTTAAATAATGCCTATGGAAACAGTATTCTTTCCTTGGATATTCTTTCACTGGTCATCTGTAGGAGCAGGGTGGAAGGAGCTGAAGATATCCCAGAGGAGCTTAGGGCTTTTGCACGGGTCCTGTCCATTGCATGCGAATTTGTATGGACTGGCACCAGTCAAATACATCGAACAAGCTGCAGGAAGCGATGGATTGACCAATGATGGATATAAGAGATATTCTGAAATATTCAGGAGAATCAAGGGAATTGAAGCTGTACAAGACCTTAAGAACTGGATGTAAGACAACGTTAATAACTATTTTAACAGGTTTGCAGCAGAAAAAATACACGGCTAGTTTTGCGCTGTGCAGCATCTATCCACACAACCGAAAACTCCTCAAATATTAGCAACATGGCAATGCTACAAACATGAAAATCTTCAAGATGGAACAGGGTCGAGCTCCGAGCTAGGTGAATTGCCTGCTGGCAGAGAGTGACACTCCATTGACGTCTCAATCTAAAAAGATTTGTAACCCAATCAAAGTTGCAATGTCCGCGGATATTAATATGAGAGATTAATAAAAAAAAGAGCTGGAGGAGCTGAGCTGAGTTGCACACGAGGCGGCCGCAAGAAGTGCCGCTAAAGCTTGGATACACTCAACATATCTAGGCTACACTATATCGATTCAATACGCATAAATTACCTTAGACGAGAGTGGCTAGAGAAACAGATTTGGCAGACCAACCGATCGGGTTACTCGATCCGTATGACGCCGGCTCCGACGCCGCCACTGTGTGCGCACATAGGCGGCATAAATGTCCATTTATCGGTCTCCGGATCGTACACCTCGACTGTGGACAAATTTGACTCGCCATCATAGCCGCCGATGGCCCACAGTTTGCCCATGTTGGCGGCCAGAGCCACCCGCGAGCGCTTGCAATTCATGGGTGTCACCAGCTTCCAGGTGTCCGTCTGGGGGTCGTAGCACTCTACGGATCGAAGGAATGAGTTGCCGCAGTAGCCGCCGCACACGTAAATCTTCCCGTTCAGCGTGGCCACGCCCAGTCTACAGCGACGATTCAGCATGGGCGACATCTTCACCCAGACGTCTTCGTTCTGGTCGTACCGCTCTACCGAATCGAATATAGACAACCCATCATGACCGCCAAGGGCGTAGACGTAGCCGTTTAATTGGGTAACTCCACCAGCTGAACGATATTTCATCATTTGCGCAACCTTGGAGTAGTGAAATTGAATTTGGATCAGTTTTATTTCCCTTCTGGGAAAAATAGAATATGTATTGACTCACAGTCTTCCAAGTATTAGACTTGGGATAGTAAACTTCAACGGTATTGAGCGAGGTGACGCCGTCGTAGCCGCCGCACACATAGATACAGTCATCCAATGCGGCCACGCCCACGGCGCTGCGTTTGCAGAGCATGGCACAGCCTTGGGACCACTTGTTTTTGCGCGGGTCGTATACCTCAACGGTGGACAGACGTTCGGTACCATTGAATCCACCAAAGGCGTACAGCTTGCCATTGAGAACGGCCACACCCACGCGAGATCTGTTGAAAATTTCGCAATTAGTATGGGACAGAACAAAAATAAACCATCCTCGCACACCTACCTCATCATTGACATTTGTTCGCCCATTTTCCATTTCTTGGTGAGCGGATCGTATATCTCCACCGTGCTCACAGATTCCCCAGTGCTGGCCAGTCCTCCCACGGCGTATATTTGCCCGGTAAAGAACTCACCGGACCTCTGGCGCGTGCGAAAGCTCTGCAGCAGTCCCCTGCGTTCGGGCATGAGGTGAAAGTCCTTGGCCTCGTCTAGGAGATCACGGCATTGGTGCGAGGATCGGATGAGCTCCTCGCGTGCCACACGATCCGCCAGGAACTGCGGCGAGAGCAATGGCAAACGAACGGCAGCCAGAACCTGGGGAAACAGCTCAGAGCGCTTGTCTTCTGCGTACTTGACCCACTTCATGCAGGCCTCGAAGATGACCTCCTCGGTGCGTACGTTGAGTTCGTCCCGGCGCATCAGCTCCAGCAGTTGTTCGCAGTCCAGGGCGAGAAACTCCTCCGACTGCGAGACTTTGGCAAAGTTTTGATCAATGTACTTGTCGGCAGCGTCGATTAGCTGACGACAGATCATGGAGTCGGCGAAGGTGCGGATTCCCAGGACATTGTGCGGATGGAAGCGGGAGATCAGGAAACTGGCACAGGCGTCCCGGACGTTGGACAATTGCAGGAAGCTGGCGCCCACCATCAGGCTCTGCACATTCTGGTTGTCAATGCGCACTTGGCCGCTGTAAACATAGTTGATGAGACTCTCCAGGGCACTCGGCTCTATGGCGCTCTCCTTCATGGTGATCTCCTTGATCCGGCTCTCTGCCATGTTGTTGGTGAACATCGCATAGAAGTACGGGATGGTGGCCGCCAGCACAACGCGGTGCGCGGAGAAGGTCTGATCTTCAACCTGCAATTCGAATGGCGTTTTATATTTAGACGCTAGATAATGACCGTATCTCTGAGCTGCGGGTGATTGAATGCCCCAGTCTGACCACCAACCTTTAGGGTGACATCGCACAGCTTGCCCATTCTGCGGATCTCCTTGAACAGGGGGAAACTCTCGCCGAATAGCTGATCATGCTTGTAAACAAAGTACTGATCCTCCAGTTGGCTATTATCACTCAAATCCATCACTTCAGCGGATGAAGAAAAATGATAAACAGTAGAGATGCCAAATGTTGTTTGCACTGCGCAGCTAGTGGTGAGTGGCCAGCGATACCGTAATCGATAGTTGAGGGTGATCGATAGTTGAAAAGGGGCATTAATAAATAGTAATGGAACACATATTTTGTTTATTGCTCTATGAACATAAATAGGAATATAAAACTGTAATATTGATTGGAACAAATTTTGAGTAGATTTCATGTATTATTATTTAAGATTAATCTTTATGATTTTAATTATTCATATATCTGTGCTTGCGTCACCTTCTCACGAAAAGGCGCTCATCACTAATTTTGCGACGATGACAGCCCTGTCAGCTGTTAGTATTTCTGGAGTGTTTCTTTACTCGCATTGATTAGGAATCTGAAAACATTTCCAAATAATCTGTGTAAGTAATCTGGGTCGCTCTCTAATAGGACAGCCCCCCGGTATGAACTAAGGCAAGGACCCGCAAATAGCAAGTAAAATGGAAACCGCATCACCGAGAGAAACCCAGGTCAGTGGAAAAGTGTAACCAGAATTGATGATGACGTCTCATCTTGTTATTCGCATTAGCAGAAGAACTCGAATCCGATCGAGGCCCTGAGCAAAGATGAAATCATCAGCAAATACAAGGGCCTGCTCAACATTGCAAAAAAAGCCAAGCAGGCGAAAGATGGTAAGTTAGATGGAACGTTGCAGGGAATTTTCTAGAATAATGTAAGCCACTCTCTTTTAGAACTCACCGAGGAAAATCACCGACTCAAGGAGGCCCTAAAACGGGCGGCGGAGAAGCAGAGCACCCTGCCAGCCATGCAGGAAATGGTCCAGGACTTTACCGATAAGAACCTCATCCTCACCGAGCAAGTGAATACTCTGAAGCGAAAGACCAAGGAGGATGCCGACCGTCTAACGCAATTCGAGATCGAGAACGAGAGTCTAAAGCGCCAGCTTGGACGACTGAGCGATGAAAACGATGCCCTCCTTGCCGATGTGGATCGCATGGAGAAGGCTATGCAACAGGTCAATGCTCTGGGTAACGAGCAACGCAAGAATCTGGAACTATTGGAAGTGGACATAGCCAAAATTAAGGAGACGGAGGCGGAAAACGACAATCTTCGCCAGCAAGTGGCCACGATGGAAGAAGAGTCGAGGCAGCTGCAGCAAAAGTACCAGAGCATTAAGGAACTAAACTCTGAGCAGCGCAAAAAGTTCAATTCTCTTAAGGACCGCTTCATTGACGTACATCGCAAGCTGAAGAATCTTAAGGAGTGCAAGTGCGTGCTATTGGAAACGCAGCACGAGTATGCCGCCTCCGTTTCCAAATGGCAGGTGGAGATCATCAAAGCTTCGCAGCTGTTATGCGCAAAGATGGCTGCCCTACAGGCCGAGAATGAAAAGCTGAAGCTGACCAACGCAAGGTCAGACAATAAACATCCCACAATTGACACTGGATATGACCGCAAGCGATTGCTGCAAAAAGTTGAGGAAATGGATCGACTAGTCAAAATAGTGAAGCAGACACAGAGCAATTTGAACGTGGAGAGCATACTTAAGAAGGTAACCGCTATCGAACGGCTGGCAGCCATTGTCAAGAAGGAGCAAAGAATTGACAAGGAAAAAATAATGGCGATAGAGCAGGAAAAGACCGAAAATCAGTCCAGGAACATCAATATAAGCTTTATCCAGACTAACCTTGATCGAATGGATAATCTGGTCAACATCATTAAAAAGGAGCGCGTTAATCAGCAGACGAAGTTGCAGGATCTAGATGCCATCTGCATAGAACTGCGTCAACACAACGAGGATTTGCTCACGCGATTCCACCTCAAGGAGCAAGAGCACGGGGAGTTGCTGACGGAGATGCGGGAATTGAATGAGGCGCTGAAGGGACGCGGTGACGCCATTTCACGCCTTCAAGAGCAGCACGAAGCGGAGGTCAAGCGACAACGCGACTTGGAGGTTCAACTATCTAACAGTCAGCAGGCGGCGCAAGAGAAGTTACAGAAGATCAAACAACTCCAGAGTCGTGTTGAGGAATTGGAAAAGGCAAATGCTGATGCCCAGAGTGATGTTCTATCGACATCCACAATATCACGAGCAGAGGAACTGAGCCGCCTGCGTGAACTGGACGAGGGCTACGAGGAGAAGTACCATAAGCTCAGAGCCATAGCTGCTAAGCTGAAAAAGAAACTCCAGGAGCAGACGCAGCAGCTGAATGAAATGGAACAGAGTGGGGCTTTAAAGGAGGAGTTGGAGGCGGTCAAGTTGGCACAGGTCCAACTGCAACAGGATCTTAATGCTGCTCGAGCTGAGAACCAGAAGCTAAAGTCCAAGGAGAAAATAAAGCACTCCAGTGTCCTTAGTTTGGAGATCGAAGCAGCCGAAAAATCCCTTACCGAAGTTAGTGCGAAGCTAGCAGCTAAATCTAGCGAATTAGATGCCGTTAGGGAATCACTGGCCAGCAAGGAAAACACCATCGTCCAGCTGCGCAAGGAGATAGCCATCCTAGAGGAGGCCAAAAACGGAGAGGCGGCCCATTCCCTACAGCTAAAGGAGCAAATTGATCGCCTGCAGGTCCAGGTCAAGGACGCTGTTCACAGCAAGCAACAGGCGCTCACTCAGAAAAAGGATTTGGAACAGGGGGTTGAGCAGGCTAAGCTTGAGGCGGAGCAATTGCATCTCCAGCTGGCGGAGAGCGCTCAACAATACGAATCTAGGCTAAGCACGTCCACTCAACAACTACTTAGCCGAACCGAGGAGCTGGAAATGCACTTGGCGGAGCAAAAGCGATTGGAGACGGCGCTTCGAAATGCGGAACGAGCTCAGGAAGATCTTCGAGTTGAGTACACCGAATACAAATTGAAGGCACAGTCTGTGTTGCGCAAAAACCAAAGTAAGGGTTCCAACCGCGAACAAGAGTTGGAAGAAGAGTTAGTTGCGCTTAGAGAGAGTGAACGCAGCCTGCGAGCTAGCAACGATGGAAGAGCTGCCCGCCTGGCCCAGCTGGATAGTCAAATTGAGGAATTGCGACAGGATAACACTGATCTGCAAAAGCGTAGCAAAGAGCTTCTATCGTTAGTTGACGAATTGCGTCAGCAAAACGACCTGCTGTCGTTAGAAAACAAACGCCAGTTGCAATTCCAACACGATCTGATGCAGCAGCATCGCCAACAAGTTGATGAGCTGGACGCCGGGCACCAGTTGCAATTAAAGCAGATGCAGATCCAGCTGGAGGAAGCGCAGAAGATGCAAGCAAACGTTTCACAGCATAGCACTGCATCCGCCGCGAGCGTGGACCCCAGTCCAGAGCAGGCAAAGATCGATTACTTGCTCATGGACCATGAAACAGGCTTGGATGGCCATGTTGGCGAAGTCTCTCTGGCGCAACTAGCTGCTCAGCGGAAGATATCCACTGCCTCGAGACGCTCCCACGACTTTATGCCGCTGGACGAGCTGCTCAACACATCAATGAACCAAATAACCAGCGATACTGTAACTACCATTTCTAATTTCGGACGCAGCGTTTCTCAGCAGGAGGACGAGGAAGCGGAAATGGCCGGACGCGGAGACTTTTCCGTCCAAAGTGCCCAGCTTCAGGCCACAAAGGAACGCCTAAATATCCAGGAAAGTCGCGTCAAGCACTTGACTTCTCTGCTGGCCGAAAACGAACAGGATTTGGCTAAACTGACCCAAATGAACGACATGCTCAAGGAAGAATTGCGTCGCCAAGAGCGCTCTGAGGAACGGGAACAGCACATGCACAACTCGGAGTACTTGAAGAACGTCTTCTTAAAGGTGAGATCAAGAAAGCACTGACTTGTTCCACGGTTATGACTTATTTATTCTATTAACTTGCAGTTCCTTACGCTAAACAATGCTGACGAGCGTCAGCGCTTGGTTCCCGTGCTAAATACCATTCTGCGCCTGAGTCGCAACGAAATGGATATGCTGAACTGTGTGGCCAAGGGACAGAAAGGTAATTGCTAGCTGAAAAGAAAAAGCTATGACTGTTTTCTTATATCTGTATGTTTCTTTTAGTTTCTCCAGATGGCAGTCGCAGCTGGACGGGATTTCTGACTGCGTGGAGCGGCGGAGGCAGTCCCAATAACAACAACTAGTTAATATCGTAGGATAGATAATACAATTATTGGTATTGTTGGATGTGGATAGTCACCAGTAATTGGGCAGTTGCACAGCATTCATTCTGTATATCTTGTACAATTTCCTTTTTTTATATCAATGTATTTTGAAATTGCTTGTTGCTGTTTGGCACACAGTACTTTGTACACTCTTCAATTTGTCCACACCCATTGTGTTGAGTGCCCTATACAGCACTATCGTCAATATGCGCGTTGTAGATTAACATCCTTAGCATATACCTAAAAAACAATTTTTTTCAATGGTTTTTTTAATTTGAAATTCTATTACCATATAGATCAGACTATAAATCAGCTGCATTGTCTATAAATTAGTATTCCATTATTTGTATTGTATGTACTATATATAAATAGGATCGGTATTTATGCATACGTGTACACTTATAAACGGTGTATATTGTTCACACACAATATAAAATATCATTAACATAAACCTAACATAAATTTTGTTTAAACCATAAGTGGGTAATCAAGTAAAATTAAAAATCTGTCTTGGCGGAATACATATGCAGGTGAACGATTTGAATCGAAATGCGCCAAAAGATTAAAGATCACAAGTCGAATAACTACTTAAATACTATCAGTATTGTGAGCCCGGATCGCATCCTATGCTAATCTATTGCCAAACGCCCGCATAGTTGCCCACCAAAGTCGCCGGCAGTGGTCCTCCTGCAGCGAACAGGCGCATCCTAGTGCTATCATAGCAGTGGGTGTAGATGGCGGGCACATACTTCACCTGCTGGAAGCCATCCATCTCGTCCTCCGGATACTGTAATGTTCAAAATAGTTTGGCCAATTGGTCAATAAGAAACTGTAACCCCACCACTTACCACAATTCCTTTGCTGCACTTGAGTGCGACTGTGCGCGAGGCATTTACACTGCTCTCCAAATACTTTCCGGCGCGAATGTCGTAGAACAGGAGCATGCCCAGGCCTGTGCCAACGGTGAGCAGGTTACCCTCGAAAGAGGTGGCCCGTATGCCGCAGCCACTGTATCGAGATGTGATCTTCTTAATGGTTTGAAGGGTTCGGGCGTCCAAAAGGATGGTATAGGAACGGCATCCTACGGCATAAAGGCCGTCGCTGTGGTAGGCGATGCTCACGTTGTCCTGGCAGTTTGGCAGCTTTCGGGAGAGCGTCTGCTTGAAGGTTTCCGCATTAAAGATGTGAATGTATCCGTTTAGCGAGAGAGCTGCGATCTCCTTAAACTCCTTGTTAAAGCAAAGAGAGCGAATCTGTAAAGGATCATATTGATAAAATGTTTCCATTTGATTTGCATTTATAAATTCACCCTTTGGGCAGTGCGAACATCTTTAACACTAAGGGGGTGGATCGTGGCGAATGTGGGACATGATTCCTCCCCACCATCTGGAAACTCCATGTGGTCCTCGTTGATGCGCCACAGAGCCATGCGCGAGTCTTTCGATCCGGACACAAGAAACTGGTCATCCAGCCAGCACATGCCCATTATAAGTTCGCGGTGCCCACCCTCGCCTACGCAAACAGGATCTAGTGTAGGCAATCGGTATACAGCGATGTCGGATGAGTTTCGCGCCCCGGTGGCTAGGAAGGATCGGCTGGGCGACAGCTCGATGGCGTGCAAGCCACCCTGGACCTCAGGATGGTTTGCCCGGCTATTGGAGAGCGTGGGTATGGCGTCCACGCGGCGCATGTTGACATCGTAGACGAGCAGTTTGTTGCACTTGGTCCCGAAAACCACTTGTCGACTGCTCAGCCACTTGGAGCAGAAGACCTTGTTGATGTAGCCCAGACTGATCTGCGTCTCGCGCAGCATGTCGTGGGTAAGCACATAGCGGCTGGTATACTCCACATTGACACTGCGACGCTGCAGAGGAAGATGGGCCAAAGTTCACATTAGCAATGCAAGTGGTGCGACTACACAACATATACCCACATCCCGGAGTCCGCTCTCCCGGCTGCGGAGGTAATCGCACAAGTTGTATGATGTGTTCAGGACCTCCTCCTGCTGCTGGGGCGTCTCCTCGTCGCTGCCGGAGTCCTCATAGGTGACAAAGTCGTCTGGCTTGTCCGGTTTCCGTCTGCGCTCCTGGCGCATTGCCCTCTGCTTGGCCCTGCGCTCCTCCAGCCGCGAGGTCACGTGGCAGGACGGATAGGTGCCCACGACGCTGTCGCGGATGGTTCTCACCATCCCGTTGAACATCTTAAGGTAATTGTTTAATCCGATTTGTTGTATTTTGCTTTACTACTTATCATCTGCAAACAAAAATGGTGGTGCGTAGACTAAAGTGGAACTACTGGTTCCGAACTGAATTTTGCTGAACCGATTGTTTTGCATGTAAGGAACTTAAAATAATAGGTGAATAATAGGTAGTGGTGACGTGTTTCTATTTGTTATTCTATCGGTACAATAAAATGGACTATATCGTGGACATGCTTCGCTTTGGTTACCAGATAATTAATTTAACATATTACCGATGCAAAGTCTGACGTCGCAATATATCGTTACTATCGTTCCTCCCTTACGATTGTCCATCTCTTTCACAAAGGGATTTCTCTATTCTCTTGACATCAGCTGTTGCGATTGCAGTGGTGACTTTGTTTGTAAATAAAATGAACTACAACGCCAAGCGAGTAATGCGCCAGAACTCGGTTTGTGTGGGGTCCAACGACATGGCAGCGTCGCCGATAATGATTGGACCTGCGCCGCCCTCGGCGCCCAGTACGCCGCAACTGCAGACCACCGAGGACATCAAGCCACTGCATGTGCAGCAGCGCCAGGTGATTCTGCTGCAGAGCGGAGGCATACCGACGAATTCCTCGCCGCAGCAGGTCAACCTAGCTGGACAGAATGTGGCCGGTGGCGCCAGCGGCAGCAACGTCGCCAACGTCCTGATTCCGGATGATGCACCTGTCTCACTGCTCACAGAGATTGCGGATATCATGCGTAGCTTTGGCGACAGCGATCAGCCCAGGACGGCAAGTATTAAGCTGGTTGAGCAGATCCTGCAGCAGCAGCTGCGCGGCATCTTCAATGAGGCTTCGCTGGTGGCCATGCGGCGGAAGCAGAACCCATGTCCATCACAGGCCGACTTTGAGTTCCTGATGCGCAACCATCCGGTGAAGATAGCGCGGATGCGAAAGCACCTCAAGGATATGCGCATACTTAAAAGGTTTCTTAGTATCCGCACGGGAAGGCCGCAGGACTTCATGGACGACTTGGAGCAGCAGGAGGAGGACGAGGAGCTGGCCATCGATGTGTACGAGCTACACGACGAGGACCGCATGCGAAGATTATTTCGTGCAGATCGTATCTCGCAGATACTTACGGGTCAGCAGTACCTGGAGTTCAATGAGGCGCGCAAGACTTCCTTCTACTGTCGTCATGGGGAGAAGATCAAGAACAAGTTCCGTCGCTTTCTGGACCTGCCAGCGGACCTACGCATCCCCACGCCCACCATGAACATTTTGGCCTATTTGGCGCATGAGACCATTGCCGCCATTGTCGACTATTCGATCCTGACGCGCCTGAACTCGGACAACCGAGCGACCGAGCCCTACAGCCGTGTGACCTCCGCCGGCGGCAGTCCGGCTATGATGCACGTCTGTCCGGAGGTCACACAGGGTCGCGGCATGGAGGTGGTCAAGCCAATCAGTGTACCGGAGATCCATGAGGCCATGCGTCGTTTCCGGCAAATGAGCAGTCGGAAGATTGGGCGGTATCGCAACTCTTGTGACATCGATTTCCGGCGCAGTTTTCTAGCTATTTAAGTTCCTGGCAATCTTTTAATATATTATTGATTTTATTCACACATTAGTTGATTGTACTATTCATTTAAATTAATTCAATTCTTTCTTATTAATCTGCTCCACATTTAAATTATACAAAATATAAAATAAAGCCGTTTGGCTCGTTAAAAATGATTATTCCTGAGAGATGTTCTTAACTAGGCATATTAATTATTTCATTTTGCGTGTGGCATATATCCTGGCTTTTGAGGCTGCGACTGAAAGACGGAAAAACGCACTCCAATTACCCACCAGTGAATCTTCCTTGTATGGAGCCGATAAATTGAAGCGGTAAACGAAGTTGAAACTGGCACCGGCAGATAAATAAAAGCGCAATAAAGAAATTTGCAGACAGGCGCACTCACACGTGTGGAACAGAGACGGGTCAGAGTGTGGCAGGATCAGCAAGGATGCCGCAGGAGTGCGAAGCAGCCGAAAGGGGCATTAAGTGAAGCAACTCGCGAACGCACTTAATAATCAACTTGGCATGCATTGCAACGAAGGATAAAGGGGCGAAGTTCGTGCGGCAGTTATACGAGCAGGTGGGGTTTCATTCAGCTTTTTTCCGTGAATTGAAAAGGATTAAGAATTATTGCTCAATGTCACTTGAACTTTTAATTCTTTCGCAATTACGGTTATGCATATGTATGTATCCAATGCCAAGCATATCCACGGCTTTTTCAAAAACCTTTTTATGTAATTTTGCTAATTTGTATTATGTGCTTGTTTATCTGGTTACATTAGGTCCATTATTTAAATCGGATGCGTCTTTCAAGCAAGCTATCTTTTTCCTATTTTCTTCAGTGGGATGCCCCCGTATCATCGCATCTGACTAAACGCTTAATTTTGATTGCTCTCTGCCGCAGATGTAAATCCATCGGCCCATCATTCTTAATCGATTGCTCATACGCCTAACGAGCGGCAGAACCACGTCGAAGGCTCCTCGATGGCCAGTTAATGAAAACAAGCTGGCTGTGACGAAATTAAGCCAACAACTTGTTTCTTTCCTCCGTCGTCCTTGGCATTTTTTCCTTGACCCCGCTCCGCTTTCCCCACTTCTTCACTCTCACTGTTAATGTTTCCAAATTTGCATTTCATGCGGCTGTTCGCATCGTCCTCAACAGAACCATCATCATCAGCTCCGTGGAGCTCGTCGTCGTCATTTCTTCGTATTGTCAAGTCACGTAGCCAATTTCCAGGCGGCGTGAAGTCAATATGCCCCAATCCCTTTTAGCAGAGTCGCCTTTAATATCTCTTAAAGGGAAAGCACACATAGTATATGTAAATATGGCCCCTCTACCTTATACGATTTCTTTTTAGAACCATTTCAAATACAGGTTTTTTTTTCGGCTAGTATTTGAAAAATAATAAAAAAAGTTTTTGTATAGCTATGATAATTTATATATATATATTTTTTTTTTGAATAGAATTTCAGTATACATCAACGATTTAAAGGCAATACTATCACTATGTTCGTTACAAAAATAGCAGAATATGCACAATTAAATATAATTTCAAATAATTTGAGCAATTTGAAAGTTGAGTGGCTAATTAAGAAAATTTGTTAATTTCTCTAATTCTCTCTCTGCAGTTGAGAAACATGAATTTGCTCTGGCTAAGCAGTTTGAGATTTTTTGAAAATCCGTTCGGCTAAACTTTTTTAATTACTTTCTCGTTCTCGAAAAGTCGCTGACGTCAGCCGGAGGCAATTTCTCCCGATGCCCAGCCTCCGGAGTCCATTGACAGTTGTCTAGGCATAAACCATTAGAAGCTGGGAAAAAATAAAGGGAAACCAAAACAAAAACAGTCCCTCACTGAGGAGCATATTACACGGCCTTTTAATTTGAAACCATCTTGAAGTGTGTTGACACAAGTACTCAGGCTAAATACGCTGGAGCCGGTCTTATTCAAAATGAATGAGATTAAACGCCTCCAACGTAAGGATCCCGCCAACGCCATCGCCATCCCCATCGCCATCGCCATCGCTCCGTCCACCTATCTCTCCTATGAACATAGCCCAAGGGCATTCTCATCTCATTGTCATTGGTGGCACAGCATTCATGGTCATGCCACTCCACCCCCAAGTGCGATTGGCACTGCCAACGAATGCGTTTGTGTGCCCAGGTGGGCGGCAGGTGGGTTGAGGTGAGCGCACATAGAAAAATGTCTTTATTTAATTAGTTAAGTGGCAGGGGCAATTATATATATTATATGATCGAAATACTTGACCTACTTACTCAACAGCGATTTCAACTTCTTCAAAGCAGCTATTTACATCTTGAATTTGGAGCGCAAGGATTTGTGATGAAAACAAGATTTGCGTATAAAATGAAGTGTTCTAGGTGAAAGTCGTAAGTTAAATAAGTTGGGAAATGTAAGAATATCATAAATTCAGCAAATATTGCAGCCTAAAGTGTATTTTTAAACTTAATGGGATCCTATAAAGCAAATTATTTTAGCTAACATTAATTATAAATAATTTTGTACACTTTTATCAGACTTATATGAACAATTCAAATATTCGATTCTAAAAACTGGGAACAATTCTGGTAGGTCCAAGCGGTTAACAGTGAACGGAAATGGGGAACAGTCATGCGCAGGCAGCAGTGGGAACAGCATGCAACAGTTTGTCGACCCGAAAATCCCCTCAAATTAACCATTTTGGGAATGGAAATGAATGGATAGAAACGTAATACCACGAACTCCTCAGTTGCAAAAGCGAAATTCGAAACGAACCATTCCCAGTCAAAGGATGTTGGTTACATCATAAGACACTGGTTAAGATGAGAACGGAGAATTTGCTCAGGGTAAGAATACCAGGACCTCAACTTGCGACGATGTTTCTTTTGTAAGGCCAAAGATTACCAAGTGTCAAAAATATATATAAAGAGCCTCGTTTGCTAATTAAATTTGTGTTTAGGGCAAACATACAATGGGTAAACATATTATGCTAATAATTAATGCAGCATGAAATATCATATATATAAACATGCGAACATTTTTTATAAATATAAATATTTGCTACCTTTGCTTACATTAGTAGCCGCATTAATTTGTTGTTCACGGGTTCCCCAGAAAAACAAACAGAAGCATACATTTCAATGATTTCAAAGAATGCATTTGAAAATGCATTAAAAATATGCATATATATTTAGAAATTTGAATAACATGAGGGTCCAGTTTACAAACACATGTTGAGTGAAATTTTAATGTAAAACGAAATGATAACCAATTTATAAAATTATTTGAGGTAAGTGTTATCAATTTTGGTTGTTTTGGAAATTCAATTCAATTTTTCGTGGTTTTTTGATGTTGCATATCCTTTTATTATTGATTACCCACTCTTCTGGCATCAGATAAATTACATGGCAAGTGTTTAAATGTCTTTCGAATGGAAAAAGCAATGACAAAAACGGGAAACTTTTTCTACGGGCTGAGCAGAAATAAAAGTGAGCCACAACCTTTGCCCCCAAAAAGTTGGTTGCACTTTTGTTTGAATTTTCTTGGCTCTTTCACGCTCTTGTGGCCGCGAAAGTATTTTTTTTCCATTTTTTTCCATTTACAATGGCCTCTGTGTGACTTTTGTAAGGGACTTTGTGGGGTTGAGTGGTTGGGTGGTTGAGGATTACCCCGTTCTCCTGCGTCGGCAGATGCTTTAAAACTTTTGATGCTCCTCATACATATGCTACATGTGTACTTTTAAGAGCCTCGGGGCGAACTTTCCACTGTCTACGAAATTCTACGGTAAAAGGGTTCGCCCGACGACGAGGAGGGGGCGCAGGATCTGCGGTCGAGGTCGTCCTTGGGGGTTGAACCTGCCTGTCAAAGTTATAATGTGTGGCTGCCTAATTTGCTGTGAAAACTGATTTGCACATAATCAAAAAGGTTGTCTCCCCGAAGCTCACAATTGAGGTAAGGGCTGTCACATAGACTTGTTATTAACCATCATTAAATTGTTTAATTATTCTCTCTGGTCGCATCTCTGCTGGCGTTTGGCATGGATTTATAATGACAGCCTAAAGCTTACAAAAGCCGCATGACTTTGCATAATATCCATTTAATGAACAATTATTTTAAGTGAGTTCATTCAATCAAAGGTTTAAATAATTAGCACTGCACAAAGCCACCTTTGCTTTGAACTTGTTGGTTCGTTGACATCTTCGAGTGCCATCCAAAATGCTGTAAATCAATTAAAGAGTGAATTTTAAATTATGGATAAACTCGATGTTGCTTGTTATGGATTAGGTTAATTGCATTTAACACCCGAAACTTCAAACTTCATGAAACCGCCACCATATTTCAAGTCAAATAAAACATAAATATTTGTTTAATCCGAATTCATTTATATTTCGGTGTGTGGTAAATTGGGTCTTGCTAAATTGGAACCTTATGCTCAAGTGCGCACATAAACCCTCAGTGGCTGGCCAAATGTAATTCAAATTCAATCGAATCTTAAATTCATATTCACCAATTGTTCGTTTGTTCGATTGGCACAATATGCGATCTGAATTTATACTGCGCAGCTCTGCCGTTGAATTATGCAGCATTTATGGCAGGCCGAGAATAACTTGAAAGAAAATTAGTACACAAATCCGAAGGCCCGCCCACATAGTAGATGTAATCCTTAAAAACAGCGCGACTGACCCCTGAATGTGTAATGAGGTCAAACCGTGGGTGGAATAAATCAGCGATGGTGAGTATCATAAATTTCGAAGCTGTGGCCAAGAAATCGCTGGTTATTGACCAGGCCATAATATTAATATTTTCCATATCGCCTTTAATGCCCTGTTTGAGTTCTTGAAAAGTGAGTTTCGCAGCACAATGGCCTGCTGTGGATTGCAGCTGGCGCAAGGGCATTGAAATAAATCAAGAGGGCGGGTCCTGCAGTCCTGGAGTCCCTGAGTCCTTGAGTCCTTCCTAGACCGAGAATAAAAATCAGCGTCGAGATGCAGGCCACATCTTTACCGATGAAGGGGTTTGGTTGTGCGGTCTCTGATGGCGTTGGCTTATGGGGCGTATGAGCAACCCCAGCATGCGAGTCCAACTCGGTGCGAGTCTCAATCAAACAAAGAGCGGTTGTTGTGCAGCTTGCTTAAATGGCCAAAGTAAGAGGGATCAGGCTCTCGTGATTGTCCAGGCTCGGTTAGCAGCTTTTTCCACCCTATGCTCCTTTCAACTCATATACAAACAATGCCATTGGAGGGCCAGGCTGGCTTAATGAGTGTAAGCCACAAAATCAACGAGTTAAATCGTGTAAAGAATGAAGTTCAGCCCGGAAAGCAGGCTGCATTACACCAGCCGAAATCACGTTTGGATTCCATAAATATTCATTTTTCTTAGGACATATGTCATCTGGTATTGTATTCTTATTTTTGTGGTGATAAATTTTTTAAAAACAGATGAATGAATTAATGAATTACTGTTTCACCTTAGTTATCTGAATACATAAACCTTAAATCATGTGAGTGTGGAAATTTATTTTGAACTATTTTTTATAGTCTGCGCTGAAATTACGAATGCCTGCCACGTTTTGTATGCAAACAGACAGTCATGTGCCATCAGCGAGCAAATAATCATCATTATTTTTGTTTAATTTAGCAAACATTTTCTTCTTTTCTAGCAGAAAGCAATCAAATTTACACAAAACCTTAGTCAAACAATGTGGTTTTAGCCACGGGATATTCTTCCAGTGCAACTATAGCCCAGCTGCATTTCGTCCTGTATCCGTGCTGCACATTTATCAAATTCTAATATGCCTGCCCAGGCATTCGACCCACCAAATGCCCTAACCCCTGACCCCCAAAACCACCAGCTGTCGACGCTCTGTGAAATGGATGTGTGCCTTCCTGCTTACGAATGCCACATGGCGGAGGAAGTGGAGCCATACACTGGACACTGGACACTGGACACTGGACCCTGGACCCTGGACTTTGGTCAGAGCCACAAAGTATGCAGCAGGGGATCAAGAACATTGCTTCATCAGTTTCAGCTCAGTTTGGTTCCAAACAATGTGGCAATGTTTCAAAGCAAACCCAAAGGGACAAATCAATGTGGGTAAATAATTTGCGAACGAGCCTCAATCAATGGCGATTGATTCGATAAATAAATTTGCTAGACAAGCGGCAGCAAATTGAATTCTAATTTGACTTAAGAACTTGTATATACTTGTATTGTATTCGACTGGATAGCATGCACTGCAAAGTTTAATTATTGCAAACACACACACCCACACACCTTTTAAATTGTTTGGTTATACTCGTATTAAAGGCTCGAAAGGGTTGACACGACCAAAAACAGAAGCCTCAACTCGTTTGCGGTCTGCGGCTGGTGATTTACGACGACAGTCTGTCATAATGTCGCAGTGGCCTTTGTTAATGCACCCAAATCGAATCGAATCGAATGGAATCGAATCAGATCGCATTGCACTGAAATTGGCAGTCGGACAGGAAAGAAAATCAATTTGTCAATAGCAATCAGTGCGTTTTTAAAGCACTAAAGCGCATTGCAAAGCTGTTAAACTTTTAATTCCGATTGAATGGCGGGATGGTAGCAACAAATAAATCAAAGTCACCCGGGGGTCGACGTCCCTATTTATATTTTACTTTTCCCCTCTGGGTCGGCAGCTGCACCGAATGAATTAAAAGTGCCGACCAACAAACATACAAACAATCCAACGAATGGCCAAACAAACAGTCAGCATAGTAAAAGTTTTCAATTTTGCTACAGTTGCGGCCGTGATTTAAGTGCCACGCCTGCTGTGACACACCAGCTCGGCATATATACGATTCGGAATTCGAGTTCCATATCCCCAATCCGCAAATAAATTCATTAAATATATATACAAAAAATAAATAAAAATACAACTGCTGTAGCGACGGCGGCGGAAAATCGCATATAAATTTCAACTGGCCGCCATAATTTGAACAATCATTTAGACATAACATATACACAAGTGCATTTTGTCTAAATTGCTTGCTACAATTTCGATTTGAGTGTGCATTCAATTGAAATTAAATTCAATTGTTTTTTTATGGCCAATCCCATGCACTCTGACACTCACTCATTCAGCGCCAAACTTCCATCACCATCCTTCGTTACAGCCACCCATCCGTGAGATACACAATACCCCATGCATTTTTAAAAATTGCTTGTGTTTGAGATTAACGACATCCGCCGTATTTATAGGCAAAATGTTGATACGCTGCCAGGAACAACACTTGGCCAGCCACTTCTCTGGGGTCATTCCGGCCAAATGTACGGACATGCATGTTTTGGGCCCGTATCCCGATCCCGATCCCGATCCCTCTTGTCCACACTGGGCTCGCGTTGGAACAAAGAACAGACTTTCAATTTTAAGTTGATTAGGATGGTTAGGCATGTTTGAAAAGTAACGAAGTAAAAATGTACCAAGGTGCTATATTCATTGGACATTTTTTCTTTTGATTATTTAATTATTATACAAAATGCAACGTTATCCAAGTTTGTTTCGACTTTTTAGCCATGTTCAGAGCCACGGTGGCAACGTCTGAATATTTATTTGTTTTTGTGTTTCGTGCAGCGCGGCAACATAAAAAAGGAAACCGACAAGGACTAGAGGCGAACCGGGAAAAAGAGAACAAATCGGGGCGGAACACATTTCATAAATCTTATCCGCGATTGAGCACAGCTCCGGCAGCCTTCGAATTTGTTTTCGATTTTTTGGCCAGCGCTCCCTAGCCGGTTATTTTGTGGCCGATTTGTTTTTCGCCGATTGCCGGTCGACGGGCTGCTCCCGGGGCGGGAGCTAGTGCTCCGCCGGCTGGCATTCCGGAATGGAGGCGGTCTGGAGCAGCTTCTGGTGCTTGTACGGACCGAAACGTGTGCGTGGGTCGGTGGTCCGGCCGAAGGAGATGAAGGCCTTGGGCTGCTTGGCCGGCTTGCAGGAGTCCTTTTGGGGCGGGGTCTCCACATCGACAGGAGGCGGCGGTGGCGGGGGTTTCTCGTCGGGTTTCTTCTTTTTTGTGGGAGCAGACTTCATGCTGCCCGACCAGCGACGCAGTCCATCGCAGAGGATTTTCAGGACACACACCATGGCGATCAGTGCGGAAACCATTACCATGAGCAGCAGGATCAGCTGGCAGATGGTCCACGTGACCGGAATGTCTTCGTTCTCAAGCCATTCCTGATCTCCTCTAGTCGTCACCTGGTGGGCAACTTCCTTGCGCAGCTTGTGGCAGTCGTAGGCGGACATTAGATCCACTCGAGGCTTAAAAGGAGCGGGCAGATCGTCCGACCACCACTTGTCCCAGAGCTCCGCCTCCTCCACGCCGGGCAGCAGGTGGGCGCAGTGGGCACACACCTCGTTCATCCACTCCTGGCATTCCTTACTCTCCAGGTTCAGTCTGCACGCTGGATTCATTCTTTTAACTCTGGCGAATATAGAATCTGGAAATGTGCATATATTTTAATCCTTATAAATCATTTTTTCCTTAGCTTGCTGTTGTTATATTAATACATCTTTATTTCAATCAACGCAAAGTTTTAGTCAAAAGCTGCATTTCTGTAAATGAAATTTTTAATTGAATTAAAGGCAATGTGAACTTCTTTTTCCAACAACTAGTCATTGCGGGCTTTCAGTTTCGGACTGATTTTTTCGATTGCGCCTAATAAACTTAGACCACTTGATCCGGTATTTTCTTTTTGGACTGCAGAAGGATAGGGGTGATCCGGCCAAAGCCTGACTGGTGGAAATATCCGTTTCCTTCTCATCAGTTCTTGGTAAAGATTCGGTCCCTTTGTGTGATGATTCGTACTCCGTTTCCAAACCCGGAGAAACGGAAACAGGCGATTTTCTGTTCAAATCCATTAGATGACAGTAGCTAGCCTTCAAAATACCCTGCTTGGAACCGCTGTAGTTCAATGGATTGCCATCCCAGTCAGCCACTTCATCAAAGCAACGAATCTTGTGGCTTCTGTATCTTGGAGTTGAACCTCCAGAAATTCGACCTTTATCCATGGTGTTTTTCTCAACCTGCTCGGGTTGCGAAAAGAGGCAGCTTCTCGAAATTAACCAGATCCAGAACCCGATCAGGAAAAGCAAAAAGGTCAGCATAAGGCACAGGATCATGGGACTAACCTCGAACTCATCCTGACTCTCGGATTCCAGCTCACGCTTCAGTTGAATGCATTCCAGGGATGAGATTAGTTTAGCTTCCGGTAGCTTGTGGATGCTCTCATCTGACTTCCATTTTGGCTCAGGTCCACCGCATACTTCTTTAAGGATTGACATTTTCACAAAGCAATGTATTTTACGTAGTGGGGAGCTAAAAAATTGGTGGGTCTCACAATGAAATAAAATTCATGACGCGTTAATTGTGTTGAACTTTTTGATAAACCCTGGAAAATATTCTTTACTTTGTTTTTTTTTTCTTCTCTTTTTATTTACAATCTGTCTTAAGCAAGTATGACAATAAGTAAATTTTATATAAAAGCTTTGTAGATTGCAATCTTAAAAGTATTATTTTTTGTCGGCCCTTGGAACTTTTGGATCTTTTTCTGATAAAGGCGAAGTGGGTTTGGGGGGTGGCATGGGACGTTCCGGGAGGGGGGGTAGAGTTGGATGTGGAGGAATGGGAGGAAGCTGCGGGTGAGACGGCACTGGAGGCAGTGAGGGAGGATTAGGAAGCGGAGGATTCGGTATGGAAGAAGGCTTAGTAGCAGGAGATCTCGAGCGGGCTGGCTGCTGGGCCAGAAGTGGATAGGGTTCGATTCCATCATCAGCTCGATTGGATCTGGGCGACGGTTGACCACTTTCTGGAGGAGCTCTCCGACTGCTGGATGGTTGTTCGCCATTATTGGCAGCTCTCGAGGGTCTGAAGAATGGTGGCCACAGCCACGAAAGCGGCGGCTTGGATTCGTCTGCATTCTCCGTGGTTGTTGCTTCTTGGGGACTTTTAGTTGTGCTATCTGTTTGGGCATCATTCAAGAAATCCGGAGGAGGTCCCGTGATGTATACTTTTGGGGAAAATAAATGTAAATAATCATATTCGTCATCGCTATCCCTGCGGTCATCATCATCTTGTGCTGTTTCCGACGAGTCCTTTCCACCCATAAAAGGTTCCATAACTTCCAAAGGGATGGGAAAAAGCACATTAGTCCGACGTTCCTTGGCCATAGAACAGAGAATCTGCAGATGCCTTAGCTAAGTTGGATAGAAAGAGTCAAGACTGTGATTTTCGAAAGCAAGTGTGGTATTAGTCATCACTTGTAGGGTAATTTGGTTGTCCGACATCACATCAGAGCATTCTTTCAAGGCCTTCGAGGCTTTGGCTTCTCCTTCTGCCAAAATGATCTTGGCCCTGGCCTCCCTGGTCGCCTCCGCCTCGCTGGCCAATGATCGTGCCAGACTACTTGGCAAGGATATCTCCATGCTGCGGAAGGGGTATCAAAAAGTGGAGATCACTTAAATGTCAAGGATTAGCGTACAGGTCCACTCGCTCCACTCGCACGCCCCAACGTTCTGTGATCCTTGCGACTGCCTGCTGGATTTCCCGGGAAAGTTGCTGCCTGGATGCCAGAAGTTCGTGGAGTCTCTTCGAGCCCACAATGTTGCGCAGGGTGACCTGGCAGATCCTTTCGGTGGCATCCTTGGCATCGTCCACCTTGATGATCGAGTTGATTGGATGGTAGATGCAGTAGAACACGACTGCGTTCACTTTGATCGTCACCGAGTCGTTGGTGAGCATATCCTGGGGATGCACATTAACCACATCGGTGCGAATGTCCACTGTATCAAACGAATCGATGCAGGGAAGCGTAAAAACTAGGCCAGGTCCTAAGCAACTCCTGAAAATGGAATTCCTATTACAGATCATACTTCTAAGTAGGGATTAGGTTTACCTAATACGACCCAATCGGAATATTACAAGTCTATGGAACTCATAGGCTATACTCAGACAACAAAACAGCGAGAAAGGAAGCAAAATTAACACAAAAGTCCATGACAGGAACACTGCTATTTGTTCAACAATATTATTGCTCTTATCTAAAAGCGTAATAATTTAAGAAAATGTAAGAAAAGGGACCTGACCTCAGTTCTTACCATCTTCTGGATTGGGTTCCACATTATCTTGCTTCTCAAATGGCTCCCTCATTACAAGAAATTTTTGTACGACAATTAAGATAGATTTCATTGAATGTTATTTCAAATGTATGTTTTTTTTAGGGTATTTATTAAACACCTCAATCCAATTTATTGCCAAGTGCTCGGTGCAGAGTTAAGTCATTTCCAATTTAATCATTTGCATATTGCGCTCGCAGGGAAAACAAAACAAACTTAAATTTTATATGAAATTTTTGAAATTACGTTTTTCCTCTTCGAATGGAGAACTTTATTTTCGGCTGCAAAAAGGAAGCAGACAAATATTCTCAGGATGGCGAGTTACGAATAAAAATTGTCCGCAAAATAAAATAGAAGGCAGAAACTTTATCGCAGAGCGAAGCTGGCAAAAGTTCGTAGGGCAAAAGAAGGAAAACTTTTGTTTTCTCGCCTTCTTTGCTGTATGTGTTTTTTTTTCATTTTCATGAAGCGACAAACAAATGGAAACTGACTGACCAGGCTTTAATACTGCAGAATGGTTTGGGGAGCGGGGTAATAACTTCGAAATGACTTTTGTTGCTTCCTTGTGGCGGTCTGGAAGTTGCCACTCCTTTTTTATACAACTCTTATATTTTTTATATATTTTGTTCCTTTTCGTGACCACATGTGCCAGGCTGAAAGAAAGTTTTCCCTCTCTCACCAGATTCATGGCCCAAGCGCCATCATAAAGTAATTTATGTGATTTGCCCATTCTTCTGGTGACCCCGGTCCCGCCATCCACATCCACATCCACATCCACATCCACACCTCCTGCCACAATATATCTGATTGCAAGTGCAGCGACATATGGTCAAGTCCGAGTTCGAGTCCGAGTCCGAGTCCGAGTTCGGGGCCGACTCCAAGTCCAGCCAATTATCCTGGCGCGTCACATAGAAAATTACTCTATTATATTTCGTTCTGATGATGGATAAAGTTATTAGTCCCCAAGGGGGGCGAGTGTGTGGGTTCTGCGATGAACTGCGAAACAAAGAGCAAATGAATGTCCTGACCCGCTCTGATAAACTAATCCATCATTGTCAGATGTCAGTTGTCGGGTCGGGAAATGGGGCTTCCTCGCATGGAACGTACGTAAGGTGGTGGGTGGCTAAAAAAGAACGGGCCGCGGAGGAAAACCATACGGGAATCCACCTGTTGCCTGATGGAAGGTGGCAAATTAATGGCTTTTCAGTGCAGTCTCAGATAACGATGCAATTGCCTCAATCATCGCCGATAAGTGTGTTGGCGTGTGAATGGAGCTCGGATGGGTTGAACGATGCATGCGAAAAGGTATTTATCAGTGGCCTGGTTTTACTGAAACATAGTGACACCCAGTTGCAAATTAAGTACACGTATTTCACAAAGAGAATGAAGTCTGCACTTTTGTATTCAACTGGGAGGTATTTTTTTTGCTAAGTCTAGAGGCGATATGATATTTATATGACGAAAAGTGTGCGTTTCAACTTAAAACAAAAATGGGTTGGTTCAGTTTAAACTTTGCTTCAAGCCTTTGCACACAAAGCATCAACAAAATTTTAAGTTATTTTATTTAGCCTATTTCTGTTACCTCTTTCGCGATACAAAATAAATAGTTAGAGTAACCATGCGGGACAAGCCAGCACCAGTGGGGGCCTCATGGTACACCAATCTGTCCGACTTCCAGGTGCAGGCCGTCGAGGCACTGGCCTTCTCCATCCGCGATGACAACGCCGAAGGGACCGTGTACCGCACCCAGTTCTGTCTCAGCCGCTTGGGAGTCACTCCCATGGTGAAGACCCGAATGCTGCGCAAGCTAATCGGGATTTGTCGCGGCAGCGACTTGGCCTTCCTTTACTTTCTGCTGGAGGCCTGCTACAAGGGCGCCGGAGTTGCCTACAGCGAACGGATCCTGATGTCGGCCATCACCTTCCTGGATCTGGAGATGACCATGAGGGAATTGGACAAAATTCTGCCGCCGGGTGTGGAGCGGCTGAATAAGAAAGAGTCAATAGCTCCTGCAATGGAATATCACTCCATCTCGTTGCCAACACCTTCACCGACCAGACGGTCATCGGATCCCCGAAACGTTCGGTCCCCCTACTTCACCTCGTTGCCCAAACCAAAGCTACCCAAGGGTGGCGGCAAGTTCACTGCCAAGCGACCCTGCCACGTTGTCTCCTTTCCATTTTGGCCAGCCGGCGAGCGGCCCAACTACAAGGTGAATGAGGAGAACCGCTGGTTCGCCGCGTACAGGTTCCAACCGGTTAAGCGGATGCTCTTCAAGATGGTGGCCGACGTCATGACCGACTACTGGTCATCGATAGATGGTGCTCAGCCGGCGGAGAACGAGGCGATGCCCATATGCGAGTTCCACAAGGAGGCGCGGCGTCAGGAGCAGCTGGTCAAGGATGCAGCGGTGGTCAAGGCACATAAACAGTGTTTGGCTCTCGTGGATATCACTTCACGGCAGGATGCCCTCCTTAAAAAACGTATTGTGGCCCAGTTGGAACGGGACATTGAGGAGTTCACGCTGCGATGGAAACGACTTCGCGAGCGCCACCACACGGATGTCATGTTGGTGGAGGATCACGATCAGATCTGTTCGGTGGGCAAGGTGCCAACGGCTGTGCAGGGGATCAAGGTGAAGTACCTATCGCAGGAGGCGGACATCGGGCGTCTGAGTGCCAAGCCCACCTTGGGTGTCCATGTGATTACCGGCAGGGACCACGTGAGTCGGCTAAGCAAAGTGCGGGTCTCGGATCCCGATGATGACATCCCGTGCCCCACGCTACCCGAGGAGGGGAAGCTTTCCAAGTGTCCACCCCCTATACTAGGACACATCAAACGTCCGCGCAGGGTGTCTATCACGCAATCAAAATTCGGCGACGATAGGCAATCTTCCTGCAAGAAACCTTCGAGGCCGGGACGCTTTTTCGTGGGTCCTCACCAGCATGGTCCCTTCGTGTTCAACTACCATGCGGTTGCTCCGCAGGATCAGAGTCCAGTTCCCAGGGATGTGATGCGCGCCCAGGCCATCCGCTCCTTGAAGGAGCAAAGTTGTCCCTCGAGCGAGGATGACTACAACGGACGGATCAATCCCCGGGACCAGTTGGTGGCGGCCATCGTTCAGTGCGCCCAAAACATGTGGTTCGGCTCCTTGGAGGCTCATCAACGCCGCCAGTCATCTGGCCAATCCGAAAACCCAATCAATTTTATAGAGCCATCCAAGAATGAGCCGGAGGAAATGTGCAAAACACAGGAGGCTCTGGATTGGACAAAGAGCATCAAAAAGTTCGACCCCAACAACCAACATCTAATGGAGCGCCTGCTGCGCGATGGATTCTCCATACTGAAACGGGATCCACGCTGCGTCTTTGCCGCATTTCCCGACTCGCACAAGTCCTTTGTGATGCTCGAGTGGATTAAGCGTCGGTATGGGAAAACCTACTGCCACGAGGAGATTGTCGATCAGATACAAAAGGGACTGACCACCTTTGTGAAAGTGGAGACCCAACTGAACATAGCACCCAGTGCAAAGCGCGAAGGATTCTCGGCCAAGGACACCTTCGATGACTTTAAACGTCTGCAGGCGCTGGCCAAGAAAATAAAAACCGAATACCGAATGCCGCTCAACGACAAGATCCTGAACCTGACGAGGATCTGCTGGAGTGCCCTGAGTCCCCACTTGGTCAGAAGTTCCTCCATGCTCAAAACCTTCTTCGCCTATCTGCCAGTTCGATACGCTGACATGCTGAAATAGGATGAAGATCACAGTTCGTATAGGAAATTCATTGTTGCTAAATTGTTTGTTGTTAAATTGTTTGTACTGTCCAGTTTTAATGTAAATTGATGCATATTATATAATCGGATTTGTTTAGCCCGATGGATTAAAGGTGTTTTTATTTGGAAGTATATACACTATGTAAAGAGTTACTTTTAAGCATTTAAAGAAGGCGAGAAGTAAACTGTTTAGATAATAGTGTAGAAATATATAGGCCCCGCTTCCACCTAAGGAAACTATTCAAACTAAACGTATCCCGTATAAATGAGAAAATTTAATTAATGACCGGCATACAAATAAGTGGATAGCGTGCCGTGGCATGGCATGTCCTGCTGAATCCCCGCAAAATTCATTGAAATTACCAAGCGTGAAATGAGCAGCTGTCACAGCGGCACAAAGGACATCCTGAACGAGGCGACTTGAGTCGACTCCTGACCGACATGCAAAGCCCACGATGAAGGCGGAGAAGAAAGATTCCGATATTCACACTCGCCGATTCTAGTTTTTCGTTTATTTTCGGGTATGTATACTTGCTGCCAAAGTGACAGAATGAAAATCACTATGTTATGATGTTAATTTACCGAATTCTTTTGTTTATTTTTGGAGGCAAAAACGTGACTCTGTTGCTAAGTGGTTACATCAGTTAATTCAATTAAAGTTGAACCCTTTAGAAAGAACCAATTCTTTAGGAGACACTTTCATGTAAAGTCTTAAAGTATAGTACAAATTTTCGAAGAGAAATCCGGAACAACCCCTTTTTGTAGCTTTCACACAACGAAGAGGAGTCGAAGGCATCCTGAGATCTAGACAGAAGGCGAATGGCAATTTGAAATTTCATTAAATTTGTCTCAATGCAGCAGACACTTTTTCCCACTTTCGGTTTCTTTTTTTTTGAATCCATTGTTCGGCGTTTGAAATGAATGGTGCGAAAGGAGAAATTTGCCATGGAAATCAGCACAGATGACTTGGCAACGATGGCACTTGGAGGAAAGTGTGAGTGTGAGTGTGAGAGGTCCCAGGAATCCTAGAAAAGGACATTCAATGGGCGTGCAGCATTTGCGGCCACCAATGTTTCGACTGAATTCAATAATGCTTTAACTGTTTTTCGCTAGCTGTTTAAGCCATAAATAAATGCTGCCGAGAAATGGAGCTGTTAATTCCCACAATCAGCTAGCAGCATTGTTGGCCCCGGTATAAATCTGGTCCAGCGATAATTCCACGTCAGCACACGAGCATACGTATTTCCTTAGCCGGAAATGTCCGGACGGCGACTTCAAGGAGCCAAAAGCAACAAGCGTCTAAAAGATAAAATCCCGTTTTTCTTCATCCGCTTCTCGTGCGGATTTGTGCGCTTACTAAAGTGCAGGAAAGTCCAAATGCCGTGACATCGGCAGCAGGGAGGGGGCTGGGGGGCTGGGAAATACGTAAATTTTCCAAGTGGTAAAAATGTGAAAATGTGTTGGTATTAACAATGCCAAAGCTGAGCTTAGATAAAACGGCAAGGCAAAGAGAATAAAAACGACGGAAGAAAAGCATTGGCAGTGGCGCAGGATAAGGATGTGCAGGTGACCAGTAAGTCGGTCTGCTAGGTCATCTAATACCACCAGGTCCACCTGGATTTGGCTGTAGGAGCATTCACTTAGCATATAGATGCTTTCAATCACTATGCATGTGCGGAAATTCAGTTGAAATAAACAAATAGCAAACACTCCACGTCAAATCTTTATAGCAGTGTTAATAACTTTAGAATATCGCCTGCTGTTTTTCTTTTACCTCTAGTTGTGGCTATCTTTATCTTTATACTCTTTAGAAGTGCCTTTATTGGATACAAATACTTAACCATATTTAATGGGTTATGAATTTATGGGGTTAAATGTGTTTTCATTGAATTCGATATACTACTATCTAGGCTGCTTTCCCAGAAATTCCAATATCACACTGAGCCGATTTTCCGCTACTTAGGTTTCTTATCCCCCTGTGTAAGTAACGCACCCCGCATGTCCTGGGTTCTTAGAAAGCCTTTGTTGAACATTGAGCCACACACATGTTTGGCAAAATGTTTTTCCTTGTCAGCAAAATCCTGGCCTTGACTTAATTTATGCTCGGCAAAAGGTTGCTGATATGCATAAACATGTGTTGGGTGCTCAACTGAGGCGTATAAATGTCTTGCTAATGACACTCATCCAAACACACATCCATCCACACACTCGCAGAACACCCACAAAAGAAGGGCCAATTGTTATTTAAATTGCGTGTTGACTTTGCTTAAAAGTCAAACATTCGGCAATGCCAAATTCCGGAAAAGACCAGAGGAACTGGCTAAACGAAGCCGCTGAAGATGGAATTTATGCGATACGGAAACGAATCTGGGGTATTCACATAAACGAGCGGGGGCTCAATAGACAATCGACATGGAAAACTCAGCCAGAAAACCACTAACGAGCACATTTAGCCTGTATTTTTTCCACCATTTCCAACATTTTTGCTTCTTTTTTTCGGCCATACGAGTGTTAGCCTGTTTCGCGTATTCCCATTCATGTCTTCCACTTCATTCATTCTTAAGCTCCAGGGCGCTCCAATTCGCCCTTTTTTCGGCTCCATTTCTTTTTTCCGTGCTCCTGCGGTCACACACTCCAAATGCATTTTCAGCTGCATGTGACTGGGACGATGGGTGGCCAAAATGGGCTGGCGGCCAGTGGATATGAGGTCAAAGACCCTTATACCCTGGCTGAGAGCTATCTCTACTTGTTTTGGAGTGGCGAGTGTTTTCGTGTTTATATACAGATAAAAGGTAGACTTGGGAACCCAGCTTTGAAGTCATTTAAAGAGAATCTGAAGTTATGTATTCTGTGAATTTTTACAATCTAAAAGACTTCATGTTAAAATATTGGCTAAAAACATAGTTTAAGTAGAAAGCTGTCAAAGGGTCTTGAATCAAGCTAAACTTAAACTTATAGTTTCTTAAGAGTTCATCTATTTCATTTTCACTGAATGGATTCAAACCAAACTTGAACTTGTAGCTTCTTAGGAGTTCGTCTTTTACATTTTCCTTTTTAATATTTTTTCAAAATATAATAACGATAACAAAGTGCATTGGAACGTCGGTGGTGATATAGAAATGCCTAACCGCATCCCGCCCCATCTGCTTATTTTGGCCTAGTTATTACCATCCGCTATTGCTGTTGACTCTAACTTCATTTGGGACTCGTTTTCATTAGAACGTGGCCAGACAGAGGGCAAAAGCAGAGTGGCGCACCAGCCGCCAAAAACCGGGTCTGAACCAGTCAATTTGTTGGCTTAAAGCTGGCGCAGCTCAGCACTGAAAAACAAACATCAAGTATTCAACTACTGGTGCTCTAATTATTTCGTTATTCACCCCCCAAAACAAAAAGTGCGCAATAAAATCGGCAATTGTTTTTTTCTTAATTAGATTTTTTCAGAGCGAAATCGTTAAATCGTTTTTCATGTTAATTTGGAAATTCCCCCAAAAACGGACACCCACCCACCCACTTTTCGCACCACCCGAGGCCGCAGAAAACCGTCGGTGGGAATAAAATAAACCAATTTCCTATCGTCGCATTGCCGAAGGCTTCCGGTTGGGCGGACGGATCCGGAACCGAATCCGGAGTTGACCGCAGACGCGGATGTGTGTTTCGAAATTTGGCATGGAAAATGGAAACGAAAACGAAAACTTTTCCACCGCACCCACCCCCGTGCGGCCCTTGCCCACCCCACAAACCGAAAGTTGTGTAAATGTGGGTATTTGAGCCTGGGAAAGCATAAATATCGGCATAGTCCAAATGTCACGCTTCCGCGCCCCGAAAACCAAGCTGGCAAATTGAAATAGAAGCAATTTTCGAGCGCTTTTTTGGCCGCTGCATTTCCACACGAGTACGACTATTTGCCGCTGCACGTTTTAACCCAATTTTTGGTGCTCGCCCAGCCACGTGGCTTTTAATTGAGCTCCCCCTGCCGTCAGTCACATCTAATTATAATTGTCCACGATGGGAGCCGAACTTGGAGGCGAAATTGGGCAGCCCCCTCATCCGGGAATCCTTGGCCAAGGTAATATTTCAATGTTATCGTGCCAGTCATCGTCACGTTCACGCCGCCAGGTATTATCATCGGAAAAGCCTTCTCGCCAGCCAGCCCCGTATATTCCTTCTTCCGGCCACTTTTGCAACTTTGCTCAGTACTTTGGGTTTTCCGCGTCACAAAGGGTGCCAGCAAGAAGCCCGCCACCAAACGGCTTTTGTTACTAAAATTAGGAGCTCTTCGTGTTGGGTTCATTTTTCCATGTCAGATTTTGACACTTTCGGCGCGGCACCTCTGGCCTACGGTACAGTGCGTTTCAAAGTTGTAACAGCAATAGGAAATACCTAATAACAAGGCAACTCCTATAGCAGAGATTTCAATAATGCTGCTTACTTTTAAAGTTGGAAAACCTTATAATGGATAATGTGGAATATCAGATGAAGTTACTCTACTTTCATTTATATTAATACACATTTGTAAGCAATTATCATTGCGGCGTGTTGTTTCACCTCATTTTTTATTATGTAGCACTCTGCTAATTAGTGCCATTTTTCAAATGAAAAATCAGAGTCAGGAATTTTCTTATGGCACCAAAGCCGCCGGTTACATCTCTGCCCAATATGTATTTCCATTAGCTTCCGATCCCCCATCTCATATGCTGAACATTTTCCCCCGCTGTCACCGATGAATTCTCTGGGAAAATGTGGCTCGCTTATAAGCAGAGTAATGTGCACTTCTGGTGTTTTTGTGGGTCGACAGTGAATGGGTTGCAGTTGAGCTTTTCTAGCTGGAAAAAAGGGAAATTTATGAGCTCTCGCGGGCTGTGTGCTATTCAACACCCCACTCTTATTTGCTCGAATTTTCCTCTGTTGCATGGCAAAAATAAATGGGAATATTCATGGGGGTATTCCGTCGTCTTCCTGGGTCAAATATTTTATTTCGTAGTGTTAGCTTTGAATGAAACATCATACACACAAGTAAAGTAATATTCTTTTTATACTAAAATCTATTATCAAATTTGGCGTTATGAACGATCAGAATGAAAAGAAAGATGCGGCATCCAATGGGGAGATGAGTAAACCTGACCAAATGAAACCCCCCAAGGAATTTAAACGACCTTCAGCCGATGGTGGTTCTAGGCCTCCACCAAGTCGATACATTCAAACCTGTATGAGCAATGAAGCCAAATGTCCTGGTTCACTCCTAATAAGCTAGCCTATTTTTCAGCTGAGGACAATAAGGATTCCACGTTCGAGATGGTTCTCGTCGGTATTTGCTGGTTCCTTGTGATCATAACGTTTCCCATTTCCATTTTGTTTTGCCTAACCGTGGTTCCCGAGTACTCTAGAATGATTATACTTCGGCTAGGTCGTCTTAGGTGGACTTTTCCAACGTTTACCTGCTTCTATTGCCTAATTCGACCTCTATCTCATCCAGGAAAGGTCTTCGAGGTCCAGGACTGGTGTTCATCCTTCCGTGCATTGATGACATTCACCGAGTAGATATGCGCACCGACGTGACCAATGTTCGCCCACAGGATGTACTTACAAAGGATTCGGTGACGATTACCGTAAATGCCGTCGTGTACTATTGCATTTACAGTCCCATCGACTCGATTATCCAAGTGGACGATGCAAAACAGGCCACCGAGCTGATATCCCAGGTCACGCTGCGTAATATAGTGGGATCAAAAACGCTCAATGTCCTCTTGACCTCCAGGCAGCAACTTTCTAGGGAAATCCAGCAGGCAGTAGCAGGAATCACATTTCGCTGGGGAGTTCGCGTTGAACGGGTGGATGTGTAAGCACATGTTATTGTACCCGTTACTCGTAGAGTAAAAGGGTATACTAGATTCGTTGAAAAGTATGTAACAGGCTGAAGTTCTATACACCATAACTCAACTTATCTTAATCGGATTTTAAATGCCATACTTCTAAATGTTTCTGGCGCAATTCTCTAAAAATCTGCATTCAAATTTAGAAATTTATTTTTGTAAAACTTTTTTTGTCATTTTTTTGTTTTATTTTGTAATTAAAGCTACAAGCCTCCCAAAACTGTCGCGCCCACACTTTTGAAAAATCTTGTAAATTTCTATAGATTGCCAAACAACTTTTTGCCACGCCCACACTAACGCCCAAAACGCACTTTCAAAATTTTTTATATTTTTTTTTTGCATTTTAATTATTTTTTTTTACCACTTTTTATCGATATTTAAGATAACTTTGAAATTTCTCGTTTGCACTTCCACTAGCTAAGTAACGGGTATCCAATAGTCGGTGAACTGGTCTATAGCATTCTATCTTGTTTTCATTTCGAATCTAATAGATATTACCACACTCTATTCATTAATACTTATTTGTATTTCAAAAATAGAATGGACATCACATTACCATCTAGTCTTGAAAGATCCTTGGCCAGCGAGGCTGAAGCTGTCAGGGAAGCTCGTGCCAAGATAATTCTGGCCGAAGGTGAGCTTAAGGCTTCAAAGGCGCTGAAGGAGGCCTCCGATGTGATGTCGCAGAACAAGATTACACTTCAGGTAAGAATGAGGGTTTTATGAAGCTATTAGCTCATTTTTTTCTGGTTTAGCTGAGGCACCTGCAGATCCTTTCATCGATCGCTTCGGAGCGAAGAGTTAGGATAATTTACCCGATTCCTCTGGAGATTATGGAACCCTTTATGTCTGGTAAGGATGGGCAAAAAAAAGACGGTGATGGGGGAAGAGGTGGTGGCAAGGAAACTAAGAATGACGATGCTGCCGGAGGTAGCAAGGAAACCCGAAAGGAAGGTGGTGGTCCTATTCGTTTCAGTGACGGAAGTAGTGGAGGACTTTTGTCCAAATTTATCTTTTCTGGTAAGGACGAGCAGAAACAAACTACTAGAGCAGGTGACAAATCAAGTGACCCAAATGAACCCTGCTTCTCAAAGGGTCTTATGGAATATACTGGTGAAGACCAAGCATTAAATCAAAAACCCCACGAAGGCCAAGAAGTTAAGATAGATGATGAAAACCGGAGACCTACATGTACGTATATAAAACGCCGTTCGCCCAAGGAAGTTTAATCTGATTTTACTTATAATTTTTTCTAGATGTCGCCTATGAAATGGAGTGTGTTAAACGAAGTCCTGCGAGTATGGCCTATAACTTAACATTTTCTACACCCAAATGATTTAATAAATTAAGTAAACTATTTTTCTAAATAAGCACATTAAAAGTAGTCACTAATTCAGTCAGAGCTAATTTTGGCATGTGCTTAATTATTTAAATATAACTTTTAAAGATTCCTGCTACATAAGATATATTAAAGCTTCTTATTTATTCTTGTTTTTAGAATTTTCGGATACCGTTGACACTGCCGAGGCGAATCAGAAGCGCACTGCTCCACAGCAACCAGGCGAGTGATATAGAAATACGAAGTGATTTGTGGTTCCACCTCCTCTAAAAATTTCTTTTCCAACAGGAGGCCTGGCGTTTATGGACCTGCAATCTTATCGGGACTTCCTGCAAACTCGTTGGTAATCAGCCGGCGGGCTGGCAGCCTCCTGGCAGCCTCCTGGCAGCCTCCTGGCAGCAGGACAATGGGAAGGCCAAGCGTGAAATGAGCAACAGTCACGTCAGCCACGTGGGGCCACAAACTTGATTGAAGGGCATTATCCCTGCTCTCCTTTTCCACTGGAGCGACATTGACACTGCCATTGAATGGCCTCCAAGCGTTTTTTTTGAGACATGATAAAAAATAGCCGAACACTGGGTGTGTTTCAGTAGCGGTGAGAATGGATCTCGGTTGGCAATTTATCTCTTTTAATAAATTGGGAGTTTTCGAGCCGATACTTCAATGGCGGGATAAAATATAGTTAAGCCTCTATACCCAAAATATTATTAATGAGCTTATTCTTTCTTATTCAGCTATTAACTAAATCATATTACTTTGAAATGATAATTCTAATCTACTATTTTCCAAGTTCCTTGCATTTCTTACTGTCATAAATCTGAAATTATCAAGCGAACCAATTATCTCGCAATTATCCCAGACAGCAAAAATGTACTCAAAAGTCACTCAACAATTTGGAGTTACATTATAAATTTGCTCAACTTTGCGCATTATTTAATTTGGACAAGGCAAAAAGTTGCCACGAAGTGCGCTGTGGGCGTGGCAGGGTGTTAATGCACTTTCTGTGTGTGCGGGCACGAACTGTGGGCAAGCGTGTGTGTGTGCATCGCAGCGTAGCAACGAAAGTTATTCAGCTAATGTGCAAGAAATTGCGAAGAAATCAAAGGAAATGTGAGCTTGACAACAACAACCTACCAAAATGTCAGAAGCTAAAAATATAAAGAACTGCAAATATAAGCTATTACATTTTTCCAGTCTTATTAAATGAAATGTATAAATAATATTTTGTAGAAAAACGCTTTTCAGAGTCACTAAAAAAACCTTTAGCTTGGAAATATACTGGAAGTATGTACAAAATTAATTAGATCATTCATTATACTATGCTAATACTATTTTCACTTGTGGAAATAGCAAGCGTTATAGAATAAAGTCCACGCAGCTGAGCTGCCACGAGCGCACAAAAGTATGCTATAAACAGGGAGTGCAGAAAGTTTTACCTAGAGGCTCTTGACTCTGGAGTTTTGACTGGCTTTTAGCATTTAATGGCACATCGTTTGGGCTTCTTTTGTCGGAAGTGAGTTTTTGGCACAGCTTTGTCGCTATTTGTGCCTGCGCCTGTGTGTGTTTGCATTCTCATTTGTTTTTGCGTTGCAGTGCGGCAGGCGAGCGTGCGTAAGTTTGGCTGCGTGCTCATTGCCCTGTGCGTGTTCGAGCACACACACTCACACTGACACTCACAGGTGGATCCTTATGCACTCATCCTTCTTTGTGTGTACGTGTTTATCCAGCTGGAATACCTGGCAGCATGAGTGTGTGCCTGTGGAGAACGGAGCTTTGGGTTCTGCGACAGGAGGTAGGAGCAGCAGCAGCTGCTGCGGCTCTTTCTCACCCACTGCAGCTGCTCGTTGCAGGCAGCAATGCAAATTCAAATTTGATTTATGCAAATGGCACATGCAGCAGTAGCAGCAGCAGCAGCAGCAGCAGCAGCAGCAGCGGAAAGTGGCGTTCAGATCCTGGGTACCCATGTTTGCACTTGCCACTCTCGCCAAGTGGCCAACAGCCAAATAAGCAATCTACCACATGAAAATGTGTGGGGATTACAAAGTTCCCATTCCCCTCGGAACGGAGATTCTTTAATTCACGTTTAAACAAAACGCTGACAAATGCCGGCTATGCCATTGGCTTTGATTTGTTTTTGCCTTCCTCCTTCGGGCGTGCACTTGACATTTGCTCATTTCAGTTGACCATCTCCTGTGCCTTCCTAGCCCGTGGTTACACTTCAAAAAATGAAATACGCGTTTGCTAGCAAAAGAGAGGCAATGATTCAGTTCTGGCGTTGCGTTTCATCAGAATAAATTTTGTGTATTAGCAAAAACCTTACATTTTTGTAATGGATTTTTTTTGGATATCTATTCCAAATCCAATCCTCTAACTTGTTTCCTGTTCACTGTACGCCAACATAAGTTCATTGATTTAAGCTGGTTTTGGTTCCACCTAATAGTAAAGTAAAAGGGAGTTTGCTTTTGCGAGTGTACCACCACTGGCCTGCAATCATCCGGACTGGCTCCGGTTGACATATGTGGTACTGTGACCGTATATGTTCTGCCATCTGTTAACCCGGAGACGGGACCATGAACCAAAAAAGGGCTAAAAGGGAACTGGGTGCAGAGGTTCGGAGGCTCAGAGGTTCAGCTGTCACTCAGATCTCTCCGCTTTGGTTTAACATTTCCCATTTTTAGCTTATCCCAGTGACCTCACTGTGGGGATTTTGCTTTTTGGGGATTTTATTGACTCTGAGGGGCTGGGGCAGCTCGCTCTCCTTTCTGGCTACTTTTTCGCTTTCATGTTTGTCATTGTCAGTCTCATTTATCGACATCCGTTTAATGTCCAGCAATTTGAATGGAACAGAGCTGAGTGGCATTCACAGCCTTACTTTATCATTCGCATTCCAATTCAAGGTTGGATGTGATTTTCTTGGAAGTGTTCGGGGTTGTCTTACATCCGCTTAGATTTATCTTAAAGGCAGATGGATGATTATTGTTTTTATCAGCGATTGCAGCGAAATCGTGTCTTTTGATGAATTATTCAATGATGGGCAATCGGCTTACAATATCCTTGTATTAGGCATTATAATATAGGCATAATAATACAAGTAAGCAATTGAATTTTAAACTGCCTAAACTTCAGGTATAACTCCCAATTGAGATGCTCCACAGTGTCTGCATCATTAAGAAAAGTTTTGATTGCCACGGAAGGTGTGTGTTCGCAAACAATCATCCAGCTCGGAATGAGGTTCCTTCCTCGAGCCTAACCACCAAGGCTTCGGACAAAAACATTCTCTGCTAAACAAGCTGTAAGCTGCCTGGTAATTGAAGCTGCATTGTTTGGCGTATGTCCAAAGACACGGCTTCAATCCCTGACATTGCACATTCCCAGCCACCAGTTGGGGGGCAAAGGTGGTGGGGCTGGTGGGGGTGGTAGGGACCCAATTGTGTAGGCAAACAATGGTCATGTTCGTGGAGGGGAAAACCCGGCAAGCCAAACCGCTCTGCCGGAGAACTCTCAAGGGTCTCAAGTGTGGTTAGTCCTACGGAATGTTGAGTACCTTTGAGTGGAGGCAACGATTGCCTGGGTTTTCAGAAATTAACAAGACATTTATGCGGGGACACACACAAAGGTGTGTCTCCGGCAAACGTATACCCATCTTGTTCGTCATCAACAAACTACTGTCTTGGCATAAATTAGCCGAGTGAGACAGAGAATGAAAGGAATGAGGTCCTTCGAGGAACTGGAACACATGTCCTTTGGTTGTCAAACAGGGCGAAAGAAATAACTTGCAAGCACTGGAACTCCTTGGCCAGGTGGAGGGAAACCCAAATGCAAATTGTGTGTCGGAAAGTTGGCAGTCATAACTAACTCGGCGAAGACGACGACCGAATTTTGTTTGCCAACAACTCGGGAAGTCTCGTGAAAGGAGCTGCTCCTTAATGAGAATGTGTCCAAGGCGGGCGGAGTCGCAAAGATTGCTGTGGAATGTTGTCAACCCTGTAGCACTGCAAACTTTCCATCAAGTACATGCGAAGTGCCTGGTTTTCATTCCCAGTCACGCCAAATTGTCAGCAGCTAAGAATTTGGCATGAATACCAGAATTAAAAGACAGCACGACTCTTCCAAAGGGCTGGAGACAGTACCAGCTTGTCGGCAGCTTCAATTTCATTAACTAAGTGGTCCATACCAATTAAGTTTTGTGCATTCTGGAATAATATAAATTAATTAGAATATGCTAATGAGGCTAGCCTCCGCGTCCCATTACCGTGCAGAGTCAACTAAACTCGACTCGCCTCGCTGCGAGTCAATTGCCTTGAATAAATTAGCGCTAGCGGATGCATGCTCAATTCCAGGACAGTTGGCTTTAACCGTCTATTGACCCATTCATTGGCCATTGAAAAGTCCATTCACCGTCTTGCTCAAGCATTTTCCGTTTGAGTCAGAGCTGGGCTCACAGATGTCTAGCCCAAAATGTTTTAGCGAAGTTGTTTGATTAAATGATTGATGTACTCGAACATTTTATGAAATGTCAAGCCCATGTAGACTGTTCTGTTTGATACCCGGATTTTGGATGTAAACATTTACCTGCAATTGGCAGGCGAATGAAACTTGTTTGATCCGTACGTATTTTCCGGAAAGTTAATTGAGAAATTAAATGCTTCAAGGGCAAAAAGTGAAATCAAAACCCAAGATGGTGGTTGAAAATTAAAATTGCAAAAACACTGGCCGTATAGAAATGTAATATAATAAATTATATACTAATTATTTGTATCTCTGTGATAAATGGCTCGAAATTTAAGCAAAATTTAAAGAACGCCACGTGTTTGTACCTCAAAGAGAAAAAACGATCTCATTCCAATTGCATTTCGTTCGACAGACCCCATCATTTTCAATCGAATGTCTCACTAAAGACATCATTTCGTTGTGGAAATGTGAAGATAAAGTCATTCAGATTCGAAAATGGCAACGACTATTGCATAAATTCGTTCCCGGTGAGATGAAGAGAGTGGGCCACATCGTATTCTAATTCGATGGCAGCACACGCAGACAGGCAGGCATTCGACCTGGCCAAAACCCCTGAAGCCCCTCAAGCTCCGTCCTCATCCTAGCCAGAATTGCCGGCGCAACTGTCTGGAACACTGCACTCACATTGGCCATGGTTTCTGGGCCTGATAGGCGGGCGGCCAGGAAGGTAGGTGGCCAGGAAGGTAGGTGGCCAGCCATTCAGTCAGAGATTCAGACCAGGCCAAGTAGCAGGCGTCAATAAAACCAAATTCACGTCTAGGTGGCCTCCATCCCCACATCATCATCGTATTCAACCAGTTTTGGGGCAGGCAGACGAATTCATTTCGTCAGTTTTGTGAATTATCACTTATCCAATTTTTTCCCCACAGTTATAGATTGGTCTACACCCCATACCAGTGTCAAGTAGAAAGACATCTGAAAATTTGTACGGACATTGGAAACTCCTTTCGAAAAATGATTGTTTGCCAGCCTTTAAGTTCAGCTTAAATTGGCAACCGTTTTGCCCATTCCACAGTCCCATCAAATACAGTTTATCAACCATTTAGCTCCATTGTTATGGCTTTTAAACTTTGAACTGTCATCAGCTAGGCGTAGACTCTTGGGCTTTCAAAAACACTTGTTTAAATAATTATCACCATTAAATCGTTGTTTTCACATGACTGCACTTTTGAACTGAACCACATAATGGGATTACCAAAGCCTTTCTGGCATATTGCCTAATCAGACAAATTAATCAGAAATCACCTGGTTGGAGCCCTTGTGGATGTGCTGAATGGAGTTGGCATCAGCTTTAATTATGCCTCTCGAATTTGTAATTGTCCTTAATGGAGCGAAATTAATTTCTTATCTGAACATTACAGCAATCTGGTTTCATCTCACTCGGCACAATTAAGGCGCACAATTTAATGTCAAACATTTCTTCAAGACATTGGACAAGCCATAAAATTGTTAATTGTCTTGAACTTATGGTGGGGAATATATTAAATTATGGTCCCCCAAGAACATGGCCAATATTACTCCAAATTTCGATATATTTGCCCATATACAAACTATTCTCATACACAGACACAAAGAAGACCTTCCAAATACTCAATAGTTAGCTTGATCATGGTTGGGCGATGTGTGCGTTGTTCCCGCTTCCATCCACGTCATCATCCGAGTCCGTCAGCAGGTCGGATAGGCTGAGATCCGAGGAACGTTTCTCGAGTCCCTCCTGCACCAGTTGTCTTGTCGGAAGGATGGCGGGCATGGCGTATGTCTTCATGCAAAGGATGACGTGCTCGCGGAATAGTTTTTCCGAGTGCTTCATGATGGCGGCGGCCCGGTGATTCAGTGAGTCGTGCGGATTCGGGTGACGCAGCAGCTGTGGCAGAAAGGTCTCGAATATATTGACCAGGTCATAGCTGGATGACCAGGCCTGCTTAAGCACATTCATGCAGACCAGGCCCGTGATGAACTCGATGTTTGGGTGCAGGATCTTGGTGACAAAGCGAACGCGCGGCGCCTTCAGCGGATACTCCTGCGGCATGACCACATTGACCGTCCAAACGCCGCCCTCGTAGGCGCTGCCCAGTGGCCCCTCGAGGCAAACATCCAGCTTGGCCATGTTGTCGTCGACGGTGGTGCGGTAGCCCGAGGCCAGCAGCCGGTTAACATCCCGGTCAAGGCGCCGCCCCGCCATTGGCAACGTCGTGTTCACCACCATTTGATCGGCCATCGTGTATTCTGGCGCTCTGTCCTGTGCCGCCTCCGAATCTACTGGGATCTACTGGGTTTTTGAGTGCACTCGTCTGCTACACAGAGGTACCTTCAAAACTATGCAGCTGGCGTTTGGGTTGGTTAATCGCCATCGGCGGAGTTGTGAATGCGATTTAATACTCACATAAAATCAATCCAGAATTTTGCTCCTTTTTCATTGAAATTTATTACAAATATGTATAAAACTACCGCCTACTCTAGTCTGCCAAACAAACCCAGATTACGTATTTAAAAAACCTTGGCTTGCTGAAGTTGAATCTAATTTCAGTTTATATTAAAATTAAATTAAATATTAGATATAAAGAAAAATTAAAACTTGCATTTTTACAGATTAATCATAACTAGTGTCAGTATTATTATTTTTTTATTTTATTTATTTTTTTTTTGCTCCTTTTTCATTGAAATTTATATAAAATATGTATAAAACTACCGCCTACTCTAGCCTGCCAAGTGAAACCAGAGCTAAATGCAGATTATTTTACAATTAAATTAAACATTAGATATAAAGAAAAATTGGTGTCGGTATTTTTATTGTAGTAGAAATACTCTATGTGAAATTTGGATATTTGTTTGTTGCAGTCTTTATTGTTTTGATATTGACCTGCTGCCAATTTAGAAAAGCCTAACCCAAATCGATAGGCCGTGAAAGTGAAAATTTATAGAGTTTTATATTTCTGTTCTCCCCAGTTTCGTATGGTTTTGTTTTTTTGGCGGACTTGTCGCATTGCGTCTAAGCGGATTTTGGCTCTGGGCCGAGCATTCATTAATTGGACGTGGGTCAGATAGTTGGGCGAAATATTTTGGCCGCAATGCCAACTGTTTGCAATTGGGCACCGGGGAACCAGCCGAATGACCCAAGGCAATGACAAGTGGGCACAAGAAGGATGAGCTGCATCCTTGCAAGCTAAAACACCCGCTTCTATAAGTGGACATTGCAAGTTGAATGCTTTTCCGACTGCTGGCAATAAATCAAAGATCGTCTGCTGGCGTTTCCATAAAGGAAGCTGTGATAACTCCAATGGAAGACCCAGAGTGAGAGTGCATTAAAGTTAAATGGACTCGTACTAAATGCTGCAAATTGCTGCCATAGCCAGCAGTCATGGATACAAGCACCCGTATCTAAGGGAATGCATCTGTATCTGCGCATCTATATTGTATCTCCATCTGTATCTGAATCTGTATTTGTGCATCTCCTACAATGGTCGGAGCTGAAACAATGGTAAATAACGACTAGAAAATTGTAAAAAATGTTGACAATGTTTCTCATGGCTGGCGAATCCTTTTGGCCCGAAGCTTTATTTTTAGTGCGACAGTAAATGCGTCACTCCCCCCCTCCCCGCATTTTCAACCCCCCCTTGGCACCATCCCCTTTTCTTTTTTTCAGTCTGGGTTCGGAATGCGCTTTGTTGCAGTTTTCACAGTTGAGTGCGCTCATTGTTTTCGCTGTCAGCGAGCGGCGCGTCGACAATGAATAATTAGAATTTTGTTGAAGGTCCATTGCTCATTTCCCCAACCCCTTTACACCGCCCGCCCCCTTGTAACAAAATCCATGGAATAAGCTCCACCACTGTTTGCTGGGGCCAATTCATGCGACTTTTAATTTGCCAGCCATGGACAGCAAATCAAACAAAACCGATTTGGGATTACAATGAAAGAACGCTTTGCAACTCGGTTGAAATATCTAAAAATGGAGTTGGACATCGAAGAACAAAATCGTCTATATCCTATATCTGCTTTATCAGCTTGAATTAACTGGCAATGGCTGGGGTAAAAATGGAATTTATTTAGTTAACTTTATCTAGAGTCCAAGACTCTAGCTAATATGAGATAGAGTCAAGAAAATTAATAGAAAACAAAACTTTACTTACATCAGGACGTTAGCGCTACAAAGTAATATACTATGATTCAATTCCTTTATCTAAGGAAAAGCAATTTAAATATATATACTCTCCGCATTAAAATTCCAGAGTAGTTGGCCTGCCAGCGCTCCCCTTTAAGTAGATATATATAAACCAACTTTCGCATTGAATTCGCAGCCAAGAAAACAAAAATGAAAGTAGCCACGCTTCAATTTGATTTTCGAGTGCATAAATAAAATCTCAAATAGATGCCATTAAGAGCTTTTTAGCCGCCATTAAAGCAATATGGGAGTCCCCGCCCCGAGAACCAGTTTCAGACTATTATACGAAGAAATACGATTATCGCGGAAAATTAACGCGAAATTAATGCAAACTACGCGCGGCAGCCCAAGGATGACTCTCAGAAAATGCTGCCCGGGGTGTAAAATGGGTGGGTTATCTCACTGGCAGAGGCATTAAGGAGTAATCTCAACATGGGCGTTAATTTCGTGAATTGTAATCAACTGGGAACGCGCACCGTAATGAAGCTGTTATGGCGCCCAAGCATTGACCACGTCAAAGTCAACACTTCAACAAGTGAAAACGGCGAAACCCGGCAAAAAAAAAAAAAAACAACAATTCCTTTACTAGGCACCAAAACAATGGCCAAGCTCGAACACAACCACTCCCTTCTCCAGCCCCGCCCAATCCACGAAATTTCAAACAATGGACCAGCTAACACAATGGCAAGCGACAAAAGGTAACCGCGAAAAGGATAACTCAAAAGCCAGAAACGTGGAGTACCAGAGTACCAGAGTACCAGAGTTCCAGCACCAGTCCAGAACCCGGACGCGTTCGGGCCAGAACAGGGCAAACCGCAACCGCAGGTCTAACCCGCTGGCATTTTGGCAACATTCCATAACTCAGACCAGCGCCAACCCGATGTCACCCCATTGTGCCGCCCCTGGAGGCATTCTTCACTGGAACTGGTGGACACTCCCTGTGGAGGTAGTAGAATACACACAAATTTGTGAAATTAACTTGATAATTTTTAATTAAATTTCGCAGCAGGCGCTAAAGTGAACAACAAATTTTAGCCAATAAAGAAGGATTTAAATGGGATTTTCGCTGTCATCGATTATAAAGTTTGCATTAAAGCGAATATATTATAATATCCGTTGATTTATTCCTGATTTTGGATTAGCAGGGATTTGTGTTTTTTGATTTCCGTGGCTTTTTGGTCTCAATGTCTAATGGCACAACATTAATGCATACATCCTAATTACTTCTATGGGAAAAATAACAGAACAAAAAATGTCAACATTATGTTAGAAATCAAAAATGAATTATATTTCTTGATATAAATCAGTAAATAAAAGGAGCGAATATTTATCCTTATTTTCGTTAGCTAATAAATTAAAATGTAACAAGAAACCCGAGCACTAAAAGCCAATTATTTTGACAAGAACGACGAAACTCAGGAGAGAGTGAGAAGCAGTGGTGCTAATAATTGTTTGATTTAAAATTAAAGTGAAACACGATGAGAAAAAGCTGTGAACCAGGGAAAAGTGGCAGCCAAACTCTGCGAAAAACTGGATGGGTAAAAACAAAGTAAATTGTTGCTGTTCCCTAGTAATAAAATATTTGTCGAGCGCCATTTACAAAGTCATTTTCAAGCTCAATGTACTTTCAAAGTAATGCGCTCCACCTGCCCGCGTTTAGAACCAACACCCACCTCCGCCACCCGCCACCCGCCACGCCCAGCCTGCCCCAATTGCCCCAGCTTTTGGCCCACTGGCAGTTGTTCTAGTTTTTATTGCCAACGCTCGCCATTTTATGGTCTCGTTTCAGGTTGCCTGGTTTGGCCGATGCCGATGCCGATGCGATGCGATGCTGATGCTCCTGCCACACTTGCTTGTACCTTCGCTGTTTATTTTTTGTGGCGCGAGTTAGGTGCGATATTTGAGGCATAAGCGCCATCGTTTGCCTTGCTAAACACGTGCTTTCATTTAAAACGCCGTAAATATGTCGCGTAAATATACGCGCTTTTTCTTTGCTGACATTTGGCTGTAACGCACACATACGCGTACGTAACTCGAATTCCATTTTTATTGAATATTTTTTACGTTTCGAACGAGATTTGTGATTGCGTGCACTAAATCCCAAGGAGCTTGTATTGTATGCTTTGGCTGATTTCAAAAGGTAAGGAGAAGACTTAAACATACGTATTGGGATGCACTACACAGACGAGTACTGTCTTTAAGTAAAAATTGCGTATACGCCCGAGTAGCGCCATCAAATAACTGATCCATATAAATATGCGTATAAGCAGACAATGTGTAAACCTTTACCTTTATTTGAGCGGCTTGCATTTCAGAATTGCTTTATAATTCTTAATGCAGCAATCATCCTAGGTTTATCAGTTTAAAGAACTGACTGAAACCCCCGATCAATTTAAAAACAGGACTCAGGATTAACCCATGTTCCATTTCTGACATATGTCGACGCTGAAAACTGAAATGGAAAATGTGAAAAAATAGCAAGAGAAAGTAAAGCCAACTTCATGACCAAAAGACGTGCAAAGTGCTGGCGATTATGGCAGTCATAAACCGATTAGGTCACATGAATATTTATGGATGAACGCGATGGGAACTGAGCTCAAATGGAGATGCAGCTGGAAATTGGAGTGAAGCTGAATGGAATGCAACAAGCGAAGTAATTTTCCGCTCAGTGGGGTCATAATAATATTTCCAAGATGTGACCGGGGTCAGCCATTTAGAAAGCAACTTTCATATTCTTAAATTGTCGCAACTAGTTTTCTCTTTAAAAACCAAGCAATGCGTGTCGCCTGCCAGTAACAAAAAAGGATTTCTTGCAACTATATTGAGAGATATTTGCTGGAAACATTGGTATGCTGGTATGAAAGGACCTCTGTTTGCACTTTGTTGTTCCGAAACGTTGCAATTTTTTCAAGTAAACCCAACAATAGGGAACATCAATAATACGTTTTTCTTCGTCTCTTTTTCCGCAATATAAATAAAACATTTGCATTTAAAAGGCTTTCCATCGATCGCTCAGGAAGAGAGTTTGCAAATAATATTTTTTTCTGCAAGGATAGCAAGCACAGATGATGAATGACGGTTCCCCTCTATGACAATACCGATAAATGCTGTCAACCAAAGACTACTCGTAGATAAATATACTCTTGCAGTAATGTTTATATGCCTACATGTGATCCCGTACATCATTTTGGCAAAAAAAGGGGCTGGAGATGTTTTGACCTTCGCCAGCAGATGATTTTGGCTGGTTGATTTATGCCGGGCAATGGATTAAATCGATTTTAATCGCTCCCAAATGTGA